GCTTAACCGAAGATGGCGGATGGTAAAACATTGAAGATCCATCTTGAATCATATGTTTCTGTGTAGCTTCCATATCTGCCACCAAAAAACAGTTTCTGAGATTATAATAATAAGAAAAACCCTAACCGTTCATCTTTAGATTCATCATTGGAGAGACAATTCAAGAAAAGAAAAAAAACTAAAAAAAGGTTGGATCTTTATGTAGATAGATTTCAATTGAAGATCGACCCAACAGAGAAAAATCATAAACAAGATCGAAGCATGAATTCAGTTATCTGTAGATAAACAAAGTTCAGAGATTTTGTAACCGTGAATTCTAAGCTAAGAGATAACTGTTACATAAACCCTAAAAGCTAATAACTCAATTTCAACACAGCTTCAACCACAAACAAAGTAAATTGTAGATAGTACAATTAGATTGAACAACAAAGAAGAAGAACAACAAATTTTTAAGTAAACATAACACAGAAACAAGAACTCAGCAAAAAGCAACCGACAGAAGAAAACTCGACTTGATTGTAAAAAAGATGGAAACTTTGAAATCAAGAATCTCACCTGGTTGTTGAGTTCGCAAAGAGATGGAGAGGTTGAGAGATTCTTGAAGAAAAAGAACGATTTGGTAGATATTTTTGATTCAGAAGGTTGAAGAGAAAGAGAGAGAGAGAGAAGAGCTTCTTTTTTTGATTACCACTTGCCTCTAATACTTTACACCCAGGTTGGGGAATAATAATAAAAACGCTCACACCTCTTTTCATTTTTATCCTCATCTCTTTCTCAAACCTATATACCCCTTTGACTATTCCATTTTACGTTTCTGCCACTGTTGTATTGTGTTGTGTTCTGTCTTTTTTTTTCTAGCGCGTAAAGAATAAATATAAATTTCAAACACAGTCAATATTAGTATGAAGACGAGTAAAATTATGCATATAACAAGTGTAATAGATTTTGTCATGCATTACATCATTCATTTGATTATCTGAGATATTTGATGAGAATCACTGATATCAGCATTATATAGTGGTAGATGATAGAATGATTTAACATATAATAAATGATGGAACATGAGATGTTAAATGTTGGATTAAATAAAATGATTTTTGTAGTTAATGATAGAGTGGTTGAAATGTCGTATGGGGCTATGGGCTGAGAGGCTGACCATGTTTTACCAGAGTCAATTTCTATTTATTTTTAGTTTTTTTTTTGGTTACGTAATACGTCATTCAACTTGTAACAGTTTTCGTTCCTTCTGTTTTAACCCTTTTATAAATAAAAAAAAAACAATGAAAACGAATTTAACTAGAAAAATTCGTGGAAATCAATCTTTTTGGAATAGTATGATAATAATTGGAAAAAATAATTTTTTCTTGTTTTATCTTTTGAGTAGTAGTATAATTAAGATATGTTACTCCAATTCTTCTAGATAATGAATGGAACACTTCTAACAAATAAAAAAAAAAGAACAAGAAATGTAAACACGAGCAAAAAAGCCAAAAAAAAAAACAAAACAATGGGTACGTAGTTGTCAATTGAGTATTAATAAGGGCACATGGTTCTTCATAATATTAATGTTAAAGTCTTTGGAACATAATTTAAATTATAAAAACAAGAAAAAATCGTACGAACGAATAATTACGATGACATGTTAAGAAAAAATAAAATAAAATAAAAACACATGATGGTGATCTATAATATTCTATGTGTGGACGAATGTATGAAAGCAAAATTATAAACATGCTCTCTCTTTTTGTTTCCCTTTTTGGTATAACCCCTTATTGAACAATCAAAGTATTATACACTTAAGTTAATGTTATCACCAAACTCGCACAATAATATAGGTTTAGCCTGATTTATAATGCGATACCATATTGTTATCAGTGAAGCTTGATGGGTTTTACCATACTAGATTGTATTTTTATTTTACAACTCGATCGGTTTTCAATTTTTTCAGCTTTTAGTATTAGGCTATTAATATTAGCCAAAAGCGAGGGTAAAATGGTCCGTAAACATCGATGAGATCGAAAAGGGATGCATAAAGATGAGATGAGATGAGATGAGATGAGATGAGATGAGATGAGATGAGATGAGATGAGATGAGATGAGATGAGATGAGACCAAACGTGCAAGGCAGGGGTTGGTCCAAACCACTTCTCACTTTGAGGCCTAAAAGTTTGTGATTATTCCCTGCCTTTTTATCCTTATCATTTTTATTTTTTTTTATTTACTGATTTTTTCTTCATTTGGAGTCAAATTTTTTATGCCAAGTAAAGTAACACAATCACTTTTTTACATAAATGTGATTTATTTATCTCGTGTTCAAACTACAAAAGATCAGTGAATGTTTTTTATTTTTAAGTGGGTGCATCATTCATTTGTGATATAAGTAGGTATAATTATTCTTATACATTTTTGTCAGTCTCTACCTTAACTAAAAAGGGTTTCATATATTTTCTCTTATATGAACAAAAAGGGTCAAAGAAAACAATTTGTGAAAAAGAGACCCATATAGTACTATTCTGAGGCTTCGAATAGAGAGAGCATATCAGGTATATCGGGCAGAGCAGATCAAACGGTTCAAACATATCAAGCAAAATAAAGCAGATCAAACACTCCAAATTTCCAGCACTTTTAATGTTCACAGTAAAGTACAATTTTCTTTTAAAATTTTGATCTGATAGGAGGACAATTATTTTTTTATAATATTTTCTTTTTTGAACTGCACCATATTTATTTTATGTTGAAAGGTAAATATACAGAACATTAGATCTGCTTGACAAAATAATTGTTTACTATCTGTTTTTCATTCAATGCCTGATACTAGAATAAATTTCTACTAATGTTTTATCAAATTACATACATAGTAGTTATCAAAGTACATAGTAGTTTATCAAAGTACTATTTTTATGAGATGATGGTAGACCGGTAGTACTTGGAAGTGTGTATAGTCCGTATATGCATTGTTAAGAGTTAAGTGTAGAAACATATATATCTTTGATCAAAGAGAAGAGTTCCAGCACACGAACAGAATGGTGTATGGACGCAGCAGAAATGTGTACTTTGGAAGTTCACACGTTATGATTTCATGCCGACCTTTTGAGTTTTGTCCCACCCATCACTTTAAAGATCCCTTTGACCCATTCCGCGTTGTTTTTTTCTAAAGAATTTTTGAGATTTCAGATTTGACCTCCCATTTCTATAATTAGTTTACTTTACCTTATTAATTTCTTTCTTTCTTTTTTTGTCTTAATATGCTTTTTATCTTGCTCTCTCGATGGAGTAACACACTGTCGGAAAGAAAAAATAATCAACTCTTTGACAAATCACAGAATTTCAAAAAGGGCATTACAAAGTCATCATCTAGCTATAATTTCATTACTAGACTTTTGATAAGATACAAAAGTTCCTTGCCAGATTTTTATGTAAGAGACAAACTAAGCTTCGGACAACAACAAAAAAAAAGAAGAAGACAAAACTGAGTAAAAAGTTTTCCTCCCGGCATGGCTAATTAAACCTATCGATATTTATCAAACATGACAAAGAAAAAGAAGTTCATAAGTAATGTATAGAGAGAATATATCATGATGTATAGGGTGACAGAGAAATCTCTAAAACTCTACAAGTTATATAACACATTACTTGTTTAGCACATAGATAATTATTAATCCACCAATTCATGCATACTTCTTGAAATCAGTTACACCAAAATTCAGTTTCATCTAGAGGAAAAATAAACCTTGATTGATTGGGACAAAAGCAAATAAAAAAATCAGAACAACAAGGATTACATGCTGTGAAATTCATCCATCGTTGAGGTAACCAGAGAATGAACATCTCTAAGCACTAAGGCATGATCACTTGCATTTGAGGAGGAGAATAAAACTCTCAAAATATTCTACGGTGACCTTAGCTCTATATCCCTTCTTCTTTATCCACACATACTCCATTTTGATCGTGAAGGATTGTAAATCTATTTTTTGCTCGTCTTTTTGTTCAACTGATGAAGCGTGAAAGAATTTTGTACTTTTAACTCCTGCAAGCTAATATTGCTGCTCTTTTAGAACCAGAAGGTTTCCTCTTCCTTGTAAGCATCACACAATCTCAATTTCAAAATCGAGGAGGACTTCTGGTGAAGCAAGATCATCCGTATAAGTTTTGTCAATCTTATCTCGGAGTTCCTTAATAAGTTTTCGCCTAAGTTTTGTCAATCTTATTTCGGAGTTCCTTAGTATGTTTTTAGTTTGATGCATCATACATTCATACTTGCATCATACATTCATACTTGCATCATACATTCATACTACATTTGTATAACAATGGTACATATCATAACATTGGCACACTTGTCCAGTATTTATTTTACACTTAATCTGAATGGATACGCTTCTTTATAATAAAAATGATGCATTTTTCACATAATTGTTCATATTTTAATATGTTTCTACATTTAGTATGCAACACGATATTGCTAGCTATTTAATAAAGAGACAACAACAACATTTTTATTTGTCTACTTCAATTTTTATTACACAACTACAGTATTAATAATGAATTTATAAAATTTTCAATGCAGGACGAAAAAAAAATTCAATACAGACGTTGCAATTAAAATGGATTGTTTTCAAGTTATAAAACACATACTTCATACTTGCTTAATTCTTTCATAAAACGTCATGCCTAATTCTTGAAATCAGTTATACCAAAATCGAGTTTAATTTAGAGGAAAAAAATATTTTGGTTGGAACAAATAATTGCAAATGACAAATCAGAACAACTAGGATTACATGTATATATAGCTTAATAGTTAAAACAAGATAATTGAACGGTCATCCAAAGATCTCTCTCTCACCTAATAATAATCTTAAGACGACACAAATCCCAAAAAAAAAAAAAAAAAAAAAAAAAAATCACAGCTTTATCAATTTAAATAATTTTGCTTTGTCTATTCTTGCTAGGTTTTGTTCTTCTCTCTTCCTTCACACAATTTCTTGGGTTTCACGAAAGACAACAACAACAACAAGAAAAAGAGATTTCACGGGGATCAAATCGATTCCATTGCGCGTGTAACCGCAATGCGAAATTGGGAGAACCCGGTTATGCTTGCGTGTAACACGGCTTCGAAGAAAAATCTACCTTCTTGCATTTTCCTCATCATCTTTACCACCGTGTTATGTCCGGTAGCAATGTCACAGGTGCTTGTGCCAGGTTCAGATGCAGATTGTCTCTTGAGATTCAAAGATACCTTAGCAAATGGCTCAGACTTCAGTAGTTGGGATCCATCAACATCACCATGTCAAGGAAATACAGCGAACTGGTTTGGTGTTCTTTGTAGTAATTTCGTTTGGGGGATACAACTAGAAGGAATGGGCTTGACTGGGAAATTAAACCTTGACCCATTGGTTCCTATGAAGAATCTACGAACCATAAGCTTCATGAACAATAATTTCAATGGTCCAATGCCTCAAGTTAAGAGGTTTAGTGCACTGAAATCTTTGTACTTGTCTAATAACCGATTTTCGGGGGAGATACCCGCAGACGAATTTCAAGGTATGCCGCATTTGAAGAAGATTTTGTTGGCAAATAACGCGTTCCGAGGAACAATTCCTTCTTCTCTAGCCACTTTGCCTATGCTTTTAGAGGTGAGGCTAAATGGTAACCAGTTTCAAGGGCAAATACCAAAATTTCAACAGAGGGATCTTAAGTTAGCTAGCTTTGAAAACAATGACCTTGATGGACCGATACCCCCAAGCCTTCGAAACATGGATCCAGGCTCTTTTGCAGGTAACATTTTTAACGTTCTATGTATAGATTAACATTATCATATGTACTTGGTTCGACATCACAATTCACAAAAATATTAATGTCGGTATCACAATTCACAAAACCCCTCTTAGGTCTTTAATTTTTTTTCAATATAGTTGAACCCAAAAATAATAATTTTTACTATACAATTTGCATTAAAACTTTCTAAGAGTTGATGCATTTTTACATGCCATTACACTAATGTTTTGTGTTTTGTAAAATGTAGGTAACAAAGATTTGTGTGATGCTCCCTTAAGTCCATGTTCCCTTAACTCTCCGAAAATTCCTGATGTTCCGGTATCTCCTGGTGATCCAAATTCTCTTACTCCACCTCCCATGGAGAAAAAGACCGGATCCTTTTATACTTTAGCAATCATTTTGATTGTTATCGGCATAATACTAGTGATCATCGCACTTGTGTTCTGTTTCGTTCAAACAAGAAGACGTCATCTCTTGTCAGCTTATCCTTCTGCAGGCAAGGAAAGGATAGAGAGCTACAATTATCATCACCACACTGCAAGCAAGAACAATAAACCTGCGGAATCTGTTGTGAATCACACAAGGAGAAGAAGATCGAATCCTGATTCAGGAGGCAGACTCCTATTTGTGCGGGAAGACATTCAAAGATTTGGTCTACAAGATCTTCTCAGAGCTTCAGCTGAAGTTCTTGGTAGCGGAACGTTTGGTGCTTCATACAAAGCAGCAATATCTAGTGGACAAACATTAGTTGTGAAGAGGTATAAACATATGAACAATGTTGGAAGAGAAGAATTTCATGAGCATATGAGACGTTTAGGGAGATTAAACCACCCCAATCTATTGCCTCTCGTCGCTTACTATTACCGTAGAGAAGAGAAGCTTCTAGTCACTCAATTCATGCCTAATAGTAGCTTGGCAAGCCATCTTCATGGTAACATTTCACATTACATTTTGCAGTCTTTTATCTAAACTATAATGTATAATGTTTGTGAGTACTCCTAACTATTTGAATCATAAATGTTCTCAGCGAATCATTCCGCTGGATTGGATTGGATAACGCGTTTAAAGATCATAAAAGGAGTAGCAAAGGGTTTATCTTACTTGTTCGAGGAGTTACCTACACTAACGATTCCTCACGGTCATATAAAGTCGTCGAACATTGTTTTAGACGAATCATTCGAGCCATTGTTAACAGACTACGCTCTAAGACCGGTGATGAGCTCAGAGCACGCACATAACTTCATGACAGCATACAAATCGCCAGAGTATAGACCCGCGAAAGGACAAGTGATAACGAAGAAGACAGATGTTTGGTGTTTCGGTGTGTTGATATTGGAGATTTTGACAGGGAGATTCCCTGAGAATTACTTAACGCAAGGTTATGATCCGAACATGAGCCTTGTGACATGGGTGAACGATATGGTTAAGGAGAAGAAAACAGGTGACGTGTTCGACAAGGAAATGAAAGGGAAGAAGAATTGTAAAGCGGAAATGATAAATTTGTTGAAGGTAGGGTTGAGATGTTGCGAAGAGGAAGAAGAGAGGAGAATGGAGATGAGAGAAGCTGTGGAGATGATTGAGATGTTGGGAGAAGAAGATTCTGATGATGATTTTGGTTCGATGGATCATCATCGCGGGACTCATAATTTGTATTCTTCAATGTTGTTAGACGATGATGACTTTGGTTTCTCGATGAATCGATGACTTCTTTTAGGATAAAAAGTTGAAAAAGAAAGAAGAAGATGATGTTCCGGATCGGAGGACGTAGCTTCACCGGAGGGAAGAATGAGAGGACCATATATGCTACTTGAGGGGCTTTCTCCTAATTTGTATGGTTAACACAGATATGAAAATGTATGAGCAATATAATGGACTAAACACATGTATATTATGTCTCTGTGTTACTGTAATTAATCACCATCATCATCAACTTTAGGTCTTTAATCCAACGAATGATTTATTTATTTTAAAAAAGATTTCCTTTTCAGCTTTATATATATCATATTCTCATTGTGTCAAAGTGTAGATTTCTTTTTCTTTTTTTTGTAACCTTTATATATTATCATCATCGGCTTTAATGTAATCACCATATATTTCAACGATTTTTGCAAAGAGTTGATCATCAAAGTTTTAGGTTTTAGGATTTTATATTGGATGGGCTACGCAATTGGACAAGGGTTTAGAATAACAAAAGAAAAAAACATAAAAGCCCACTTTCTCTAGCCTGTTTAGAATAAGTACATAATAAGGCTTGATTATATAATTAGAAGGCCCAAATTTGAGCCCAGAAAAACAATTGCATAGGAGGTGATGAATAAAGAAGCCGAAGCAGCACGCCCTCTCTCGTCATCTTCTAGCTTGCTGCAAAAAAATCCTCTTTTTGTAAAATTCGGTAATCATCGACTCGTCCTTTCCTTTCTAAATAATTTTCCCCCAAATTTTTACCCGCGAAAATTAGGTTTTCTCACATTTTAATTCCTTTTTCAAATGTTTTAAAGCTAAACAAAAAAAAACTCAGATCTTCTTCCCTCTCTCTTCTAGGGTTTTTACTTTTCCTCACTCACTCCGATTCGTCTCCTTTCGCGGATCTCTTCGTTTGAGATGGATGTGGCGATTAGTGATGCGGCGGTGAATCTTGAATCCGCTGAAGAGAAGAGAGATGAAGAGCATATAGACGGAGTGGACGAATCTGTGATGGTGGTGGAACCGCCGGCGAAGAAGCCACGTTTTGACGAAGAAGTTAACAGAGTCGCGGAGATTGTCCTTGTTTTATCGGCATTGCGGAAGATTCGAGGTGGGAGAAACCCGACGGAGTTGGAGATTGAGCTGATGGTGGAAGCTAAATCGAAATTGGTTGACATGTGTCAGGAGTTTTCTCCTAAGGATATTATCGCTAGGGATGCTATTGGTGCTGTGATTGAAGATCTGGGTCTGAATGCTAAGCTTAAAGATCAGAGATTAGGGTTTCGAGCACCCAAGTTAACCATCACTGAGAAGTTATCCCTTGGGAAGAGAAAGGTTTGACTCCTCTTTTTCTTTCTTCTATGTTCAATTGGTAGATTAGTATGTACCATGCACATTGATCTGAGTCTATATAGATAAAGATTTAGCCTTGTTTTTCAGATTTAATCAATTAGCAATTTTTGTTGGTATAAGTTGTTTTTTCCCTGATGTTTCTCTCCAGATGGAAGAATCTAAAAAGAACCCAGTAGTATCCACTTCTCATACATCCCCAGGTCATTCAGCTCCTGGTATGACTACATTTACAATCACTTTTCAATAAACCATTAGCTAATAACTTCAAGAGTTAAGTCATGGTAATCTTCTCCGCCTATGATTTTGTTGCAGCAGCAAATCATGTTTCTACGGCACATCAGTGGCCTAATAGCGAAATGAAGGCAACTACTAGTTCTGTTAATGCTGCAACTGGAAGCCATTTTGTTAGGGATGCATCTGGAATAACACAATCTAGAATGGAGAGACCACAGTTTAAGTCAGATATGCATACCGGTGTTTCTCAGGCACCAGGTACTTCCACTTTGCTTACCTTGTTATATCCCCATTTTGTGTTCTAGAGATATTATTTGCTAAGATATCATCAGCTAGAAATAATAGCTCAAAATTGGTGTTAGCTGGTGAATTGTTTAGTCAGTTAGCTGGTTTACTATAGTTATACTTTATACGTTAGAAGTAAAAAAACCTAATGAACATGTGCACATAGTGCCACATCTGAGAACTATTTCCCATTTCTTGGTTTAAATTTTTTAATTAAGCCTCCATTGTCAGAGTGTTTAATAAGGTTTGTTGTTGGTAGAAAACTTACTGGCGATTTCTACATTTTCCCTGGAGACTTGGCATATTCTCTCTCTGATCCTGTTTATCAGTTATTTTTTTGCTATCTGAGACTTGACAAGTATCTATGATCCCTAAATTATTGCCTCTTCTTTTGAAACAGCAGTTCCTGCTGGAAATTACTATGGGAATAATACATCTTGGTCTGCCCAACCTCATTCGAGTTCCTCCACCATTTCATTTGGTACGACATCAGAGAGCAAAGTTCCTGTTCAGAGTTCTTCCAGAGTCACAGATCCGAGCTTTAGACCATTTATGTCCCAAACCCCACCAGGTGCATTCCCAGGCATGAAAGGAGTGAGTTATGGTCAAACTTCTTCACCTTTTGGAAACAACAACCATGCTGAAATTGCCAAGATAATCCATAAAGTTCTGCAACCTCGGGCTAAACAAAATCTCTTGTGGAACCCACCTTCGAGAGAATACATGAGTAAAGCAATGACATGCCAAATGTGTCACGGAACTATCAATGAAGTAGAGACTGTGCTAATCTGTGATGCTTGTGAAAAAGGATATCACTTGAAATGTCTCCACGCTCACAATATGAAAGGAGTTCCGAAATCTGAATGGCATTGCTCAAGGTGTGTGCAATTATACAATGGCAAGTCTTTTCCTCCTAAATACGGCCGTGTCATGAGAAGCGCCACTACAGCCAAAATGTCTTCTAGTACAGCCGAAGTTCAGTCACCTGCAGAGAAGAGGGTTGGTAAAATGGATCAAAAGGTTAGTCAAGGGGCAATGCCACATTCCAGGACAGCAAAATCAGTTGAGGATTCAGCTATGGAACAAACTGTTGAAGCTGGAGATGCAGATATGAATCCAATTGTTGAAGCTGAAGATGCATCTATGAATCCAACAGTTAAAGCAGCTATGAGTCAATTAGTTGAAGCTGGAGAAGCAGCTATGAATCCAACAGTTGAAGCTGAAGATGCAGCTATGAATTCAATAGTTAAAGAAGCTATGAGTCAAATAGTTGAAGCTGAAGATGCAGCTATCAATCAAGCAGTTGATGCTAACTTTAAATCACCAGTTCCTATAGGAAAAGCTGATGGTAATAGTGATGATCCTTCAGAACCAGTATCTCACTCAGAAACTCTTCATCCTCCAAACCTAGAGAAAAAGATAGTACTGAGCAAAGATGCGACAGAGAGACCTGTTTCCACAGGTAAGCAAGATGAAATCCTGACGATTGTAGCGGAATCATCATTACAAGAGGAGAATTCAGCTTCGCAGACAGAGAACTCACCAACCCAGGCTCCTCCTTCTCAATCGAACACAGATCATGTCCAACAGCAGAACACAACACCAAATGTCCAAGAAGCTGTACAGAAGAACTACACAGAAGATCCAGCCCCGCCTACTCCGTCGCAATCCAACGCAGATCATGTCCAACAGCAGAACACAACACCAAAAGTCCAAGAAGCGATACAGAATGTCACGGAAAATCAAGAGGAAGACAAAAGCTGATAATGGTTCAGACAAAAGTTACAGGGAACAATATTCACTTTGTCCACAAAAGTCACCGCTCTTACTCTCTTTGGTCATCAAGTATATATATTCTATAGTAAGTGATGATATCTTTGATTTAACCTTTGGCTTAGGTTGAATTGCTAAATCTTATTTTATGAAGCGCGTGTGGTTCAATTTTCTGAGCATAAGTAGCGACTGATTTTAGTTTGAGCCGCTGTGTAGTGTGGCGCTTGAACATTTTTGAAGGTACTTTCTGAAATAATTCCTTACTTTTACAGTAACCTTATAAAAGCCTCATCTGGCAACACATTGACTCCGAATAAACTTAATTTGTTTCGCTAAAAGTACAAAACATCCTAAATTCAGAAAATATGAAAGTAAAAAATAGAAATGCTTTTATTTCGAATCTAATTTACAAGAACATGAACTCTATAACAATAATTAATACAACAACATATTGAAAGCACAGATAAATTGATATACAGTGGAAATTACAAAGGAAAAACAGATATAACAGTGCCAAAACATTTTCGAGGTTTCTTGATCGATCCCAAAAGAGTTTCAAGAAATTCCAATGGTTTTACCGAGAAGCCAAAGAACAAGAGACAATTCAAGTCCAAAGATGGTATGGAGTGTACCTCTATCAAGTGTAAACCCATACACTGTGATCCCTGCTCTGTTATTCTCGAAATAACTCACTGCGAAAAATTCAACCAGACATAGTTAAGTAAACCATTAAGACAAAAAAAAAATGCATTGCAGAAGACTTTGTTCTTGTTCTTACCTAGAGCTTGTCGTTTTTGGAATGACATGGTACTGAAAGCATAAGCAGGAATGATGTTATTGTTGTCTATATCATCTTCTTCGTCACCATACTCGTCACTGTCTGATTCTGTAAGTGTGATAACATCTTGACCTTTGTTGTTATCTATGTTGTTGTTTCTAGCAACCAAAGTTGGCGTCTCTCCATCAACTGTCTGATCAAAGGATTCTAACGTAGCGCATACATGCCATTTCGCAGCTAAACATGTCACAGCTTGAGCCTTGTGTGTGATCTTTGATGCACTTCGTAATAGTATGAGAAGTGCAGTGACTAATGTCATTGAACAAAGCTGCGTATAAAAAAAACAAAGAAGTAAAACTATTAAGTTCTCTCGAATGTGGTTTTATCTAGAAACAAATTAAACAAACATATATAGTGAGAGTAAAGGAAACTTACAGCGAGTTCTCCAGCTCTGTAGATATTGACTTCAGTGTAGGCTTTGGTAGTAATAAGCAGAGAAGAAAACTGACTACCAGTAACAAGAATCAATAAACATAGAATGAAAGAACGATATCTATGGCTGATGATTCTAAGATGACGTCTGATCCGGAGATGTTCAGACAAGATCGAACCAACGTCAGAATCAATCTGAAAGAGCTTAGCAAAGTCTTGAAGACGAAGAATCTGAAGATGGCAAATGAGACGGAAGAGAACACACACAAGGAAGATCACGGTTGTACGGTAAAGCCAAGAACAAAGCTCCATTACACAAGCAACTGTATCGCTCAAGACAACGTTTCCTAAAAAGGGTATTTGAGATCCACCTGATGCGTACCACCAAATTTTGTATGCACTCATTGCTGAGAAACAAGGGATCACGAAGTAGGACACAATATGAAGCGAAGTCTATAAAAAAAAAAAAAAACAATAAAATTGTAACGCTTGTAGAACAAGTAATAGGGTAAATCCAGAGTTTTTTTCTTTTACTTTTTACTGCAAAGAGAATTTCACCAAAGTTTAAAAACCCAAAAAAAATGTTACAGAAGAAGAGAGAGTGAGAAACTGATAATGACATACATTATTAAAAAAATTCCTATGTCTTTGTCAATACTTCAACACTTCAAGATGCGTGGAGTTGTTGCCTTACTTTATGAAATATTCATGATTCTTCTATTCTATCAATCTTCTTCTTTGTTCTATATATTATATAATTTCTTTTTCCAACTTGACTCTTTATTATTCTTTACACAAATTATTTGCCATAATTCCTAAAGGAATAGAATATTAAACCTTACACACACAAATGAGCTGTTTACACCATGCATTGAAAAAGATCTATTCTTAGCTTCGACATAGTGCGACATTATCTTGATCCATTCCAAAATTTCTCAAGAAATCAAGAAATTAACGTAATTAAACCAAAACTGAGAAACTAAAAAAAACAAGAATTAGGGAAGAAGTAAAAAGAGTTGAGAAATGAAACTGACGTTGAGTTGATTGGTGTAGTTGCGTCTAACGGTTTCGCTCTCGTCCCAGAGTTTATCAAAGAAGAGGAACCTTCGAAGACCATACTTGCTAACGAACCTGGTGAGACAGAGGAAAGAGACGGTGGCGACGCTGCTAAGAGAGAGCTGGACGACGGAATCGTAAGGTCTAGAATGGTAACTGTCGCAGTCAGCGCAAGCGAGGAAGAAATGAGAAAAGGAGGGAACGAGGAGGGTGAAGACGAAGAACATGGTCCAAGAGAGGATAGCTGTCCATGGACTCGAGTGATCAACGCACATCCATCTTAGGAATTTCCTGAAGCTCTGTAGCTCGTCTTGCTGGTACGATACGCAACGGTTGAACATCTTGTTCGTTTTGTTGTTGTTGTTGTTGTTGTCGTGGTTTATCAGCGGCTCTTTCCCGGCGACGCCGATGTCGATGTCCGCCATGGTGAATCAGAGTTTAGAGAAACAGAGAGAGAGAGAGAGAAACGCGTTTGCGTTCTTTTTTACTGCGATTTGGTGATGCGATCTGTGAACACAAGTGAGACGTTATTTATAAGTTTTTTTTTTTTTTTTTGTTTGGCGTGTAAAGTTGGTTTCTAGTATCTACACATATAGTCAGAGATTAAATTTTGGAACATACAAAGTAAACTCTTTTTTAAAAACATTGTATTTCATTTTTCAACATAACCTGATACTTTATTACATGGGTATATTTCAAAACAATATAAAAAGTGTTAATTTTATCAAGAATCATGTTGTTATTTATGAAAGTTTTAACACTAATTAATTATTTTCTAGTTCGATGATGTTTTTCTCGTGAAATTTATAGTGAGTTGGTGGTATAGAGTGATTCTATAGTAATCAAGAGTAAATAATTTATCATCTGGCTGACATGAATAAGTATCTTTCTTCTTCTTCGACGTAGATATATATGATCACAACACAGGTCTTGTACTAATACCTTACACAACACAACTAGTCGAAAAGCCGAGGAGCATGAGACTCGACTGAAGAGACAATATGGTTAAGTAGTCGGACCATGAGTGTTGAAAATATATATGATCCATGACCCAGTCAACTGAATGGTATTATTATGGGGTTTTTTTTGTTTTTTGTAGAATGGTATTATGGTTAGCTTTAAAAAATGTTGAAAAGATAAAAGACAATTACTTTGTAATTAGTTTTTTTTTTTTTTTTTAACCTTACTTTGTAAGTTTTTTTGTCACGTAAATCTACTCTTAAATGGAACAAGTTAAATTCATAAACAAAATATTTAATAACTTGTTTGTACTATCAAACTATGTATAAAAAAAACATAACCTTAATGCAAAGTGGAAACAAATCAGATCGTAGAGGAACATGAGCACAGGCTGTGTGGACTGGAACCCACTTGCCATGTGTTTAGATGCCTCACCACCGTAGAAGCATCGCCACGCGTACGTGCCCTTTTGGCTGTTCCTCAATTACCATATTAATCACTAAATTAGTCGGATGTAATAATATGTAAGATAACAAAATGTCATTGGAAGAACAACTAATAATATCACACACACTATTTTTGTATGTAGTAGAATGATTTTCTTATTAAATTTAATTTTATTTCGATGATCTTAAACAACTGTTTATATTTATAGCCACCGGCAGGAGGATATGTCTTTAAGTTTATTGGAAGAAAACTATAATTTTAAGGGGGAATTTCAAAAATATCCCTTTTTATATACTTTTTTTTTAAAATACTTTATTTTTAAATTTTATCAAAAAACCCACCTAGAATGTTGAAATTTATCCAAATATGTCTGTAAGCTTATAAATATATACACAAATTACTTTTATATGTGTATTAAACTTTATATACCTTTCATAAATAGCGTAAAAATAAATTATAAAAACCTTATAAAACTTATAAAAACGATTTAATTTTAAATGGCTAATTAAGTTATTATGTGAATGAATGTCTAACTCAATTAGTGCTTATGATTCAAATCGAATACCATACGTTATTAAATTATTCACAAATTAAAGTTAATGATTGTGAATGATTCGAAATCAATTCGTTTGTTTGCATCTGGTTTGATTACTTGTGGCCTTGTCAGTCCCTTAGTGGCTATGTTTTTGATAGACACCATGTAAACCTTAAACAGATGTTCATCATTTACTTATTTCACATGGTTAATACTAATATTTAATCACAATTATTTCATGAATTAATTCTTCTACCACAATGTAACCTCAATACATAAACATAAAATAATCTACTATTCCAATTGTTTTGTAGTTCGGAAAAAACTTTTATCTATTTTTTTCTTTATCAGCCAACAATTTTTTTTTTTCAAGATCGTGTATGTTAAATTATAACGTTGTCGGTTTTGTTTTCTGCCTAATGTTATTTTGAGTCTACAAAATCCAGATTAGTAGGCAACTGAATACTACAGTGCAAATACCATTGTGACTATTGCAAAGCTGGATTATAATAGAAAATGTGGCATATGTCATATGTGGACAATGAACCACTTAATTTCAGATACTTAATGAGTTATGATATCGTTTGTTTTGATTATGATTGTTCGCTTATGTTTACGTTTAAGTTTCCTGGTTATAATTGTCGATACATGCAAACGCCAACACAAACACAATCGTATAAGCAAGTAAGCAACTACACAAACATAACCTAGTTACATACTTACATGAAGTCTATTTTGTATGAGTTCATAAATTACTATGATCATGTTTGATGTTTCTTAATCCTAGTTAGAAACTTAGAATACATGGTGAAGTCACCGAGTACGAGTACAAAGTAACATGTATTTTTATCGGAAAGTAATTAAAGTTATGCATAATTATCACGACACGACGGCGACCTATTTTACCCCAAAAAAATATATATATATTATCACGACACCAAGTAATTTAGTAACATGTCTTGTACGAAGTACAGTATATATATAATTTGGGCTTCCAAAAGCCTAGCTCGAGATTATGGATAGCCCGAGCCCATTATTAGCCAACAAACTATCTCTTTCCTTTACCGAATATTCAATGTTCGAAGTGATAATTAACAAAAAAAAACAGAAGTGCTAATTAATTTCTTACAACAAATAAAGAATAATGAAAAAGAATCTATTACATTAAAGTAAAGTTTCGACGGTTAATCCACGAAATAATGGAGCAATATAGGTATAATCAAATCTCAGATTGGGCAAATATTGAGCATATTAATATACTGTAATACGTTATCACAAACTCGTTACAATTAAGTCACAATTTGTTTTCCTAAAATGTTTTATCAATTCTTGATCTCTAGGCTCTTAATAAAACTTGTTTTGTTACACTACTATCTAACAAGATTCAAGAGATGGTGTAATCTTTAGAACAACGGTAAAAACAAACTTGTGGGTTTTGGTTAGAAACCAAAGGTCGTTTAATAAAGTGTGTGTATGAATGCTGGCAGGAAAAAAGTAAAGTAGAGATACCCAAATTTAAGGGTAACGCCGAACACAAAATCTAATCTAATAGGTCAAACACGAAAAGAATCTGCCTGCCACCTCTCTATCTCTCACCGAGATTTTTTTTTTTTTTTTTGTAAACTCTCTCAAAGAGATTTATTATCAATTTGCCCACCAAACTCAACCAAAACTATTGTCTCAATTACCTAAAAATAAAATATTTTTCCTCTTTTTAACAAATATACAATAGCTAGAAAAATACCATTTTAATACCTCAAAAAAAAAAATACTAGTTGTTATTCCGAAAAACAATATCACAACGTAAAACCTCAACAATACCATAATTTTTTAGGTATACAATAGCTAGATATATACCCTTTCAATACCTAAAAAAAATACTAGTAGTTGTTATTCGAAAAATATCACATCTTATGAAAAAACAAAACTTCAACAGTACCACAAACAATTTTTCAGGTTGAAGAAACGTTTCGAAAACTTCTACTACCTAAAATTAAATTTTGAAATTCTCAAGAGTTTGGTATTAATTCCAGAAAACACAAAGATCTAGCATACCTTGGAACTCAAAACAAGCTTTACAAATAAGCGACAATTATAATCATATAGTACTGTATTTTATTTTATGTAGATCTGGGTGTTAATTTTGAATTTTGAAGATGTAACACTTTTAAGACCCATTGCCAAATCTCTAATTAATCAAAAGAACACAGAACTTGTTAAGATTCAACACATGAACAGTTTATAAAACAAGCTTCACTTTTATCTTAACAAGTTCAGACATCCATAACAAGAACTACTGATCTTCTAACAAAACCCATATATTATTATTATTATTGATTTCGATCCAAAAGCCATAACAATAATACGAAAAATGCAGAGCTCAAAGAAGATGATAAAGATCTAAAAAAAAAAAAAGGATTCTAGATTTTATTTAGAATCATCAGTGTTGCAAATGTATATGTTACAAAGATGTTGTTGTTGTTGTTGATCTTTCTCAAGAAAATAAACGAAACACAGATCTGCTCTTTTCTCTTACAGTAAAACAAATAAACAAAACCAGATCATCTCGTTCGTCTGCTTCTTCTTCTTCTTCTTGATTTGAAGATTTTCAATAAGTAGTAGTAGTAATAATAATACTGTTACAATAATATATCATCAACAACACAGAAGTAGAACACAGAACCAGCACTAGCTCAAGCTCATCACCATCTTCTTCGTGTGTCTTGTCTTTCTATCTCTCGACTTCAACGAAACAGGAAATAAAAGAAAAATTAAAAAAAAAAACCTTTTCGAGAAAAAAAAAATTTAGAAACGGATTTTTTTTTTCCTTCTTCTTCCATATGAAAATCAAATCGATGAGACGGATCTGTGGTATTTTGATTTTTGATAAACCAAAAGTAGTGAATTAGAGACGTAGATCGGTACAGTGAAGATCATCAGAAGAACCATTGAAGAAGTCAACATCATCCAACGGTGGGAAATTAAGATCGAACTGAAACGGCGGATTCCTCCGCCTCGAAGCGATATCGTCGTCGATAACAGAGGACGAGGAATCGCAGTCGCTGTGACAATCCTCCGGTACAACAGGCGGTGTTCTAGGATACCTCTTTGCGGCGGGCGGCGTCGTCACGGGTTTGGTAGAGGTAGGTCTGGGTCCGCTAAAGGATTCGACGGTGCTGCTCATGCTGCTACAAGTGGGGCGGTTAACAACGGGATGGGTATTATTAGTATCAGCGTGGAATAACCGGTGGTCCATGAAGGGATCGAATTGGTTAATGGTGGAAGGGAAGGGGAGATTGGGAGAGGAAGGAAGGATGGGGAAGTTGGTTTTGGCTTTGGGACCACGGAGGTTGCGAGCGGCGGAGTCGTAGGCGCGAGCGGCTTCTTCGGCGGAGTCGAAAGTGCCTAACCAAACGCGTGATTTTTTCCATGGATCGCGGATCTCGGCGGCGAAACGTCCCCAAGGTCTCTTCCGAACGCCTCTGAAACGTTGGGTGTCTTTGAGAGAAGCGTTGATGACGGCGGAAGAGCCTCGTCCTCTCTTCATAGAGTGGAGTTTAAAGAAAAAGGAGCCAGAGGTAATGGTGATGGAGAAAAGGATCTGTGTGAGATAGAGAGAGAAGATGAAGATGAGGGGAGAGATGATGGTGGTGGGAGGAATGGGGCAAGATAGGGAAAAAAAAAAAAAGCTCTTCTTCTTCCTTCTTTCTTTCTTTTTTTAAAATTTAATATTCATTTTTTTAAAATAACAAATTTTAAGTTTAATTTTAAGTTTTGGTTTTGTTTGTGATATTTGTTTTCTTTTTTAAAAAATAAAATTAAAAATTGGTTGGAATAGTTTTTGTTAATGTGGAATTGCTTGCTTGCTAGCTTTCTCTCACACGCCCGCCCCACAAGACCGACCAAACTCGGTTTCTTATCATTTTGTTCTTCTTTTTTCGTTTTCGTTGGTGTTTTTAGATTTGGTTTTCTCAACTGATTTATTAGAAACCATTCGTGTCAAAAGCTATATAACTCGTGACGAACCTTGAACTTTTTGTTTATTCCTAACCATAATTAAGATTAACTTTGCAATAAGATTAGAGAATTAGAGAAAAGCATGGAAGGAAAAAACTCCTCCACATATACATATATATATATATATTTTTTAAATCCGTCATTTAAGAAAATAAATCGTTATTTTTAACAAATCAATATTGGAAGAAAAAGGTTATTTATAAGATATATTCGTTTTCTTGAAAGCAACAGTACCATAGTTCATGCATAAATGTATAAGTATAATTTTGAATGCAAATGTGGATTATTATGCGCATAGTAAAATGCATCATTTAGACATGAATAAATTCATAATTTTGGATAAAGATAATCAGTTACACGCAGGGGCGGATCTAAAAAATTTATTCAATGGGAACAAAAATATAGTAAAAAAATTATCAAATACTAAATTATAAAAGACATAAAATTTTTGTGTAAAAACTTTAAAACATCTTACAAAACCACTCAGACGCTCATTTAACAATTGAAACCTTTTTACCACATTTTCATTTGTGACAGATTCAAATAATTAAAAACAAAAAAACATGTTATTAATTAAAAATTTAGAAAATTTTGAATTTATAAACTTATATTTTAAAATTTATTAATTTTATATTTTTGAATTATGTAACAAACTTCCATAAAAGCTTAACGATAGAATAAACATATAAACAATTATCACTGCAAAAACTAATATAGTCATGTATAACATAAAAACCTATATAATGTTTTCCAGGAAACATAGTTATAAGCTTAAACTGATTAAATAAAATTAACTGACTAAAAAATAATGCTTATATAATAGAAACGATTGTAAAAAGAGCAGGAAAATAAACTCACAAATTGATAGTTGTTGATTTGTTGTCACACAAAGAAACCAAATGACTAAATAAGAAGAAAATAACAAAAAATGAGGTCTATATTAGTAAGTTTTTAATTTATATATTAATATATATTTTTTGGTACATGGATTAATGTGCTTTCCAAAAAAAAAGATGAAAAATAGTTTTTTTGTGGGGACAGATTTTGTTTTCTAATAATATTTAATTTTTTTTAATATTTTTTTTTTTTTTTTTGCTGGTGGCAGCTGCCCCCACCACCTTGGCTGTGGGTCCGCCCCTGGTTACACGAAATATAATACATGCATAACTACACATCTCAACTATATAAAGATAACTACTGTATATATCTTGCATGTCCACATATATCTAACTATGGATGTTTTCATTCTTTGCTTTTAACCCTAGCTATAATTTTCGACGTATTCCCTTGAAAACATGTTTTGAATTTTAATTTAGCTTGCTCACATATTTGAAAGAAGTTTTGAGATCATCATGCTCGAGGAATTAAACACATGTCTCAGGACAAAGAAAGATGAGATGCAAAACATGCAAGTAAAGGATAGACAAATTACAAAGCATAAGACTGGTTTGGTCTTCAACTTTCTCTGTTGAACCAACTTCATGGTAGCCAGTCATCGCCTCCATCTACCGGCTAAAGCTTTAGAACTTGCATCTTCTATAACGTTGTCCATATGCATCTAATCCTTCGTCATCCTGAAACTTGTTCCTAATTCTTCGTGCTTGTTTTTTGTATTAATCATTGACAAACATGTTCTAATTCGTGCTAAGACCCTTTCATTTTACGATTTTTGGGTGAAACAATAGAAAAATTTGTAAAATAATTTGTGAAAGAGAATGAATTGAAAATATAAAGCTCTGTATAGTTCAGTACTAAGATACAAAACACTAACACTTTTCTTTAGCTAATTTAAAACCGCATTTTTGGGTTTTAAATTTTTTTTTGGTTAATATAGAGAAACAAGAAGCAAAAAAAGATGATGGGAGTCCTAACTCCTACAAGTAAGGGAAACATGTAAAGTGGAGGAGGTAGTTCCTATGTATATGATGAAGACCAATTCTTCTCTTACTCTTAAGGAAATAAATTACCAAAAAAAAAAAATTATTTCTAAGAATTCTAATTGCAATCAAAGATAATCTCTTCTCAGTATCTCACTTATAACATCTTCGTCAATTTACTTCCTCAACTAAAGCAATAGTAAAGAGTTGCCTGGCTATAAGGATTATGTGGACAATTTAATCAGTAGTATATGACTAGTAATCAAGACTGAATCGAGATATTTGATTTTATATTAGATGTGGCATTGCTAAAAAAATATTCATCATCAGAGAACCAAACAAATATAGAAGTTGTGTTGCATTTCGTTGTGACAAATACAAATAGATTGGCAATAAACATAAAACAAAGACAGAATAATGTCTATGATTAACCAACGCAACGATATGTTCATTATTTCTTAATCAACAACTATTGATAAACATCTCTTAATGGTTACTTGAGATTGGTTAACAAAGGTAATTTCATCACTATTTTTTTTTATAAAAGAGATCTTTCCACTAAACAATATTTGAGTTTTAGTACATTCCAAAAATTATTATTGTTGAAACCTATGGATTAATATATCAAGGATATTTATATTATTGTATGTTTTTATTTATTTATAGCATTTAGATTTTTTTTTGGTTGGGAGTGTTGAAAATTGTATTCTCTACCATGAACAGTGTTATTTCTTCTAAGAAATGCCACTTTCATTCCAATCTTCTAAGAAATGCCATAGGACCCACTTTAACTCATAAAAATGTCAATTATATCCCTCACTCAAACTTTCTCTCTTTTCTTTCATTTTTTTTCATCTCTTTCTCTTCTTCTTTCATTTTTTCTTTCTTTCTTTCTCTTCTTCTTTCATCTTTTCTTTCTTCAACAACAAACAAATCTCTCTACAATTCCGGCAGACTAGTTCCGGCGAACCATTTCCGGTGGACCAGTTCCGGCGGACCAGTTGCAGTTCCGGCGGACCAGTTCTAGTTCCGGCGGACCAGTTCCAGTTCCAGCGGAATATAACCAGTCTCAGTAGACCAGATCTGATAGACGAGATATGACAGACCAGTTTCGATGGACCAATTCTGGAGTATCAGATCCGGCAAACCAGTTTCAGTGGATCATATCAGGTGAAGAAGTTACAGCGGACCATAACCAGTTCTGATGGACCAGATCTGGTGGACCAGAATCGGTAGACCAAACTTGTGCATCCTACAGATTTCTTGAAACCACAAGAAATTAAGCAGAAGATAAAACAAATGATGCATCTATGGAAGATATCATCAATGATCCATCTAGGTATACACTTTCGATCACACATTTGTGCGTTGATGGACTAGATTCGGTGGACTAGATCTGATGTCTGTAATATGTCCATTTTTTGTTTCTTAATTTGTTGTCCATTATACGTATATAGTAAAAGCAAAGAGTATCGGCACAAAAAAAAACTTGTCTATTAATTAATGTCCATAATTGGTTTATGTTAGGTTTTTTTGTCTTCTTTCTTTGAGGGCATTTTTGTCTTTTTAATTTATAATAAAAATGAATATGGCATTTTACAAAATACAAAGTTGAAAGTGGCAGTTTTAAAAGTTTGAGTTTTGAAAGTGGCATTTTACATAAAATTCCCTTTCTCTATATCTCTAAAACTATATATTTATCAATTATTACTTTTCTTGTTTCGAAAAATATTGATTAATTTATTCTCTTCTTCTTTTGTTTTCTTTTGTAATCGATCCGTTTCCAATTTGAATTGCTAATTTTGTTCTAAACTACTTTATATTATTATTGTTCTAAATTATTATTGTTGAAACCTATGGATTGATATATCAAGGATATTTATATTATTGTATGTTTTTATTTATTTATAGCATTTAGATTTTTTTTTGGTTGGGAGTGTTCATTGCGATTTGCGAGTTTTTTTTTAATTCTAATCGAACTAACTTAAAAAAAAAATTGTGAAGCTAAAAATATGTTCAAAACACATGTTCAGCTGAATAATATCTACGTAAATAATTTTAAAACCTTTTAACATACAGTACGTAATTTGATATATAACCTAAAACGCAATGGCTAGTACTTCTTTATGTGATGGAGATTTAATATTCGTAAAAGATGATTAAAGAAGTCATATGGTCTTTCATTGTGCAACTTTCCAACATCAACAATTTTGGTTCAAATTCGATTATTCAAAATTTCTATATTAATATAAAGTAGTTTAGAACAAAATTAGCAATTCAAATTGGAAACGGATCGATTACAAAAGAAAACAAAAGAAGAAGAGAATAAATTAATCAATATTTTTCGAAACAAGAAAAGTAATAATTGATATATATATATATATATAGTTTTAGAGATAGAGAGAAAGAGTGGATGGTGGTGGTGGGAGGTGTCTCGATAGGTGTGGTAAAGAGTAAGAAGAAGAGGGAGGAGACAAGGTAAAGGGAGATTGGGGACACTTGCTTCTCTGCACTGCACAGCACTCTTCTTGCTTCTTCTTCTTCATTGCACCTCTCCCAATCTCTCTCTCTTCTATTCTTTATTTTATTTCTTTTTCTCTTCTTTCCTTTTTTTAATTTATACGCCACACCAAAAGACTCACATTTCTTGTTATTTTCATGTTTACTAACAATAAGAAGAAAAAAGAACACATCAATTTTGTTTCATAAAAGTCTATATTAATATTCTTTCCATATTATATGTCTTCTCCAAGATTTCAATTTGTCCATTCGAAACAATATCATATTTTAGAATTACTCCCTAATTCTTTTTAATTGTATTCAACTACAGTATCACACTATTGTTACATTTACATTTTTTCAGAATTTAAAACATTGTAAAAAAAAAAGAATTTCTAAATAAATATACATATAGAGTTAAATGGTAAAAATGTAAAAAATAAAAATCATTAAAACATAGAAGTTTAGTTAAACTAATTTTACGAATTTATATCAATTAATATAAGTGAACCGAAATTAACAATCTATATCTCTAGTAGTTGTGAAATCATTCCATTTTTCTTACAAATTACTAATTTGAAACAATTTTGTTGGCTTTTTTTTTTTATCTTTGGTTTATAAGAAGAGAATTAAGTTTTTTGTTAATAGTAAATAAATGAATAGAAAAGTCATGTTTAAGGAGGAGGACGAGACGCGTTAACGAGTGATTAGAGTTTTTTTGTTTGTAGGTTCAGTTTGCTCCTTCCACGCTTTTTCATTTTCTTTCGTCTTCCTAATGACATCTCCACCTCAACTTTTTTTTTATATTCTCCCATCTCAGAATTATATCAATACTTTAATACATATATTACCTCCAAGAAAACTCAGTTATCAAGACCAAGGACACACAATTCAATTCATAGAGCCAAACACACAAAGAGAAAAATGTATAAATAAAAATAAAATATATATAGGAATAGGTATAGAGTTGATGCAAACTACTTTATAACCAACCAATTAATTAGAAAGAAGAAAACTATATGTTGGATCCGATTTAGCATACAACAAACAACGTGTCGCACAAGTGTTAACTACGTGTATATATGTGTATCATCATCGATTTTAATCACTAGCTTAAACTGATCCATTGTTTTTTTTTTTTAAAGAAAGAAAAGAAAAACACTCTGATGCTTTTGCATAAGAACACAAAACATCTATCTATCTTTAAACTAATCTTATCTCCCACCACCACATGGCCTCGTAGATATACATGTGTATGTGTTGTTGATACCTTCAATTCTTTTCTCATATGATCCCACTCCTCTAATAAAAAAAAAAAAATATTTATATACATATATATATATATATATATATATTTGGTATGTATATTAGTGTATATATATTCTTTTGGGTTTTATTCCTATCCTTGAATTTTTAGAATGATTTTTATTTAAAAAAATAATTGATAATTTGTCAGAAGCTATTAAAAATAGACTGTGGATTCCACCAAATTAAAGTCCAGTAAATTTAAACATTGATAGATAATGTGCTCACACACGCATCGAACTTAGTAGTTCACGAAAGCGACTCCTTTTTCTTAAGTGGTCAAAAAGATTTTTTCTTTCTCGAAAAAAAAAAAAAGAAGAAATCATTCATTTTATACAATATAAATTAGAAAACAATACTTTCTTTCTGGGCCTGAAATGATAAATTATGGGCATAGACATTCATTAACTATTGGGCCTAAAACAAGAACATATTAAAATTGAATATAGCCTGTTCTTTTGTGTCAATGGTGTTCCAACTCGTAATTTTGTATGATAGTTGAGTTACTATATATATGTATGCCGCATCGTAAACTGAATCAAATTTGTTTAGGAAACATTGTATTGTATGTATACTCATGTTTGAACTAGAATCTTTAAAAGTATCCAAAATCTTCTAACACTGTTAATTAAGAGACCTTCTAATTCAAACCAACTGCTCCAAACAAGAAACCCACCCACCACACTAGCTAGAACGATTACGTACACATATACTCTCAAAATGTATGTCGCCCAATTTTTTTATATATTAAGGCCTAAAAGCAATATGCTCTCTAACGGATGAACATCCATGATGATGACTGGATCATGTGGTTTAATTTCAACTCGTTGTAGAACTTATAATACGTAAACATGGACGAAACCTAACATTGATCTTTTGATGTTTTTATTTGCTGGTTACAATAATACCCTACGACGTTTATTAATGTATGCACACCAGTGAAAATTCAGTTAAAAGTACAATAGTATAAACAGCATACATTTACAATTTGACATTTTCACAACCTTTCTATTAATAAGATGTATTGATTAGAATCCAAATATCTAACTGTATTCTAATATGTGTTTAGATCCGACTACTACATCATGTACAAAGACTTATTACATGCTGATTTAAGCCGTCAATTTATAATACGGTACAAGGATAAATGTGGACAAAGTATATATTGCTCGAAATCATATCAAATGATACACAATATATAATATCAGATTTTACGTTTTATAAAATTAATCAGCAAAAATTTAAAAACAAATATTATCAATTCAAAATGAAGCATTAAACACTTGACTTTATAAATTGACTGTTATACTTGGACCGACTACTTAACATTACAAAATGACACCATATATGTAACCAAATTATTATCATTACAATATAAAAATTCATCGAAAAAATGAACTCTATAAAACACACAATATGATAATTATAACCGCAGAAACAACAATAGTTAAACTCAACGACTCGATCTCACCGGTATATATATCTTCTCACCACGTTACGATTATTCATAATCACGATCATCATAAAGTTTACTGTCTGGAGAAGGAGGAGGACGTGGCCTATGAAACTTAGGACGACGACGACGACGTTTTCCAGGCTGTGACGACGGAGCAGCATAACCACACATACCAAACTCACACGGCGCACCCGCTTCACACTCGTTCCCGCACTGTCCGCAGTTAGACGGATCACTTTTTGTGTCCGCACAATCTCCATCGCAGCACGATAACCCGAACCGACAACTCCGGAAACAGAACCGACAATGGTTTGGATCAGACAAGACATCGACGCATTGGTTACGACAACATCTCATCCGAGCCATTGGTGGTCCGGATCGTTTGCATATCCATGGTTTACACATCGGTGGCTTTGACCTACCCCAGTTTGATGCTGTATCTGCTTTGGTGTGGCTCTTAAGCCATGAAGAGGTTGTGTTAAGTTGGTAACTTTGACCCCAAACTTGATGAAGAAGAGAGCTCAAGAGCACAAAGATTAGGGCACATAAGAATAGCTTAATGGTGATCATTGAGGAAAGTTTGGGGATGAGGTCAATCAACTAGATCGCTTATTCAGATGTGTAATTAATGAAAGGTTTATATAAGTTTGAAGAGAGAGAGAAAGATTTGAGTAGTGTTCATGATTTTCTTGCATGGATGATCGATGATGTTTTTTTATTATGCATAATGCATGTTACGTTCATCATCATTTTATTCACTAATTAGTTAGAAACTTTAATAGGATATAGTTTTCTCTAATATAAATTTATGTTTTGGACCGCGAGGAGTACATTTATATAAATTAGTGTGATAGAAAAGAAAAGGGTATCACATGGCAAAGTAGTTGGAAGAACAAAAGTGGGTTTACAAAGGCCACATGAATTTTGCTAAGTTTTATTTTTCTTTGGGGGGAGTTACAAAAGGTTGTTAAGAAAATATTGGGGTTAAGTTTCTTTTTCATTTTTAAATTTAATTTAATTTATGGTGGTCTGTCCTAGTCCTAATTGATGGCATGCGAACACATATTCGTATATGGAGTTATTTTTATGAGACTAGTTGGATGGATCTCCTTGAACACAATTGCGCAAACCTGACAAGCGTAAAGAGATGAATTCGAATAAATCGACCTAAATAATGTCTCTGTCTACATGTTTTCTAGATTCGAAATGGTTGTATCTTTATCATTACCGCCGAACTAGATATTGTTTGTTACAAACAAACATATTCACTTATTTTTATGGTTTCAGACTTTCATTTTTGGGAAACGAAACAATGAAACCCAAGAAAGAAAAGAGTTTCTTTCATGGACAAAACTCAATGCTCAAAAGTGATCCATAATGTGAATGTGATCCATGCCAAGAAGAAACCAAAAAGAAGAAAGTAATACAAACCACTATAATTGGGCCACAAGGCCCGTAATGTGAAGACTTGTTTCTCAGACAAAAAAAACAGTAACTACACATCTTTATACGTTTCACAAGTTTATAGGCACATATATAATCTTTCAATATTAATGTAAGATAGGCAATTTTTCAATATTTGACGTCGTACGTGGCAAGAAAATAAGAACAGCAAAAAGAACCTTGTCCATTTGCTAGGCCAACAAACACTTCATCGCACAAACCGCGGTATCCAGCTTGGAAAATGGAAAAAAATATAAAGTCTTTCAGTACTCTTTCTTCTTGTTCATTCCGTGGAAAGGTAGATTGGTTTGACTCACGGACAGTAACCTCTGTTGTGCTTTATTCTGCTCCTCTTTCATACTACTTGATACTTGTCCTCAGCTCAGCAACCTCTCCCTGTTCTGCTTTCAAAATACTGTAGCATGTAAGTAAGTTTGTTGTGGAATATTTAGTTTTTACATTCCCAAAGATACTAGGAAGCTATCAAACTTAAGTGATCCAAAGTGAGAGAGAGGAATCAACTAATTAATTTGGTTGAATATATATGATCAGTTCAAGATCGTTAACCAAACATTGGATTTATTGTGATGGCATAATTAGGTGATAGTACGTGCATATTTAATATATACTTATTCGGATTATGACAGATGACAAGTCTTCTTTAATTATATAGCTAGAGAGAGTACTGGTTGTGAATGAACCTGACAAAATGATTCAATTTTATTTATGAGGTGTGGAAATGATGATCAGGAACAAAATTGAACAAAGTCTAATCGATGTTGATCGTCGCTATTGATGCTATACAATGTTTGTGGTTCGTATTGGTTAGTTACTAGTCTTTACGTGTTTGCTTATTCCTACTGTAATATTATACGTTATGATCAGTGCGTTTGCATGTGTTGAATATGATTTGTCTCCTTGTTCTTGCAAATTGTGTAATTACAAATGGCAAAAAAAAATGAAAAGATGTATTTATTATAATAAAGAATAGTAGTAAAACAAATTTGGTTAAAAAATTAGAGATTATCAATGTTATCATTAAAGAGGTTATATACATAAACAAATTATAATCTAATTGATCATTTGTAACGGTTTTGATATAGTATCGTATAAAATACTAGATCTACAATTACAAGACAACAAAAGTTTTGAGTAATATAATAATAAACACGTACAAAATTACAAAAAAAAAAAAAAACTGGAGATCTATAAATTTCTGAAAATAAAAAAATGAAACAGGTTTACTATATAATTGAATCATGCAGATTGCAGTGATCAACATATAAAGCCAAGATCTGTTTGCGCAGGATCAACATATTTATTGTTAAATTTGGTATGATATTGTTTTTAGTTTTCTTGATTAAGTTGAATAAAAAGGATAGACATTAATTACATTCAAATAGTTGATGAAACTCAAAACCTGACTATACATATAATTCTAGCCAAATCCGATGGCAAATGGGAGTTTTTGGAAAGATATCTAAGTCATACCATCATCATACAATTTGTTTATGCAGAAAAAAAACCTAATTAATCAAGACTGTTAAATAAATATAATTGACGTATACTAACTAATAACTAATAGCTAGCTAGGTAGGTGTCAAACAAAAACTAATACTAACGAAATTATAAGTGAAGTCTTAAAGTACGTACGTGGAAACGAGTCGAGTGATAGAACATGGATTAGTCATTAATTAGGGTTAAACAATAAAAGTTAAATGAGATTGATCGATCCACAACAAGAACAAGGAGGAGTAGCCCTAATGGGAAGTAGTACCCAAAGACAATGGCACATCTATAGAGAGAGGCTGACCCATTAATCAACGGTTGTTTCCATGTTTTATATATTTAATAATACTGTAATCGACAAATACCAAAAAGATATACACTAGCATAAATATATATAATCCTTAATTTAATGGTTCATGGGCAGTCCAACGTGCATAGCTTTGTTGATCTTTTCAATAAGTAGATATCAATGTAATTCATTACCACAATGCTTTTATTATATTTATAAGTAACCATTAGGTCCATTACCATATTTCAAAAAAGATAGAAACATATTGTTTAAATTAATTATTACAAAAATCGGATGCTTCTTGATACTTGTGAATTTGGGTGGTATCTTCTAGTTACTTAAAGAAGAATTTGATTATATACTTCCACAATAGGTCTAATGAAACTTGACATACGAGTTTTCTATTAAATATAAATAACGTAAAAACAATAAATATTACTAGTATAAAGTTTTAAATACTAATAGATATTAAATTACGATTACAATAGTATAATTTAAAATTTTCCAATTAATTTACATATATATCTTAGGAAATATATATGTTAAATGCGTTCGTAAAAATCTATATAATGTATCTAACTTCAATACATTTGCTTTCTAAAGACTATTTTTAATGAAGAAGTAATCCTAGATATCCAATTTTTGTAAACCTAAAAACTCCATGTATTATATTTATTGAAACATAATATATTTTTATATATCTCTAATCAGATAGCTATTTTCATCGATAAATTTAATAAAAAAGCGTAAAATGTATCAATGTTGCTTACGTTTGTTAGAAAGTTACATTAACATTTCTTTTATTTTTCTTAAGAACATGGTATTTTCTCTTACAAGTTTTGATTAGAAGGAAATTAAAAAAGTGATATACTTACTGATATATATATATATATATATAGAGAGAGAGAGAGAGATCATGTGTAGTAAGGCTAGGCTTGATGAATCCAATGAGCCGACATATTCACTTAGGATACCCTTTTGATGTCTTCGTCGTCTCTTTGTTTGTTTCCTAGTCTATCTATATTTTTTTTTTCAATACTACTACTATATATATATAATAGAGAGAAGATAAATCTAGATCTAATTTGACTATATATATATATATATATATATAAAAAAGCAGGATTATGCATTGCATGTTGAAGAACATTTCCTTTTATAAAAAAACAAAATGCTATATTAACATCAGACAATGCAATATCCTTTTTGATATTTTTTGTGTAGTTGTACTTTGTTCTCCTCCAACACGAATTTTAATTAGTAGAGAATCAATAAATAAAACACGTACATCAAATTTCAATTCAATTCAATTATTCATTTATTGACACAAAATGTTCTTCATTTTTAAAAATTATTTACTTAAAAATAATTATTAATAATAAAATCATATATTCCCAACGTCTCTCTGCAACACGCACCACCAAGCTAGAGAGCTCTCCCCCCATGTAGTTTTGGGATACACCCACACGCGCTCATACGCGACTACACTCCACTGTCCCATGATACGACATCGTTTTCCAGTCTTATACCGTTGACCAAATACGCATGGGTTTTACAAACATACGTATACATCTACTCATCTCTCTCTCTCTCTCTCTCTCTCTCTCTCGTTTCAGTCACAAGACTCTCACAACAAAGCGATCTCTGCTTCACGAACTCAAAACCTCTCTTTCTCTGAGTCACGCATTTTCTCGTCTGTGATTCTCGAGCTTTTTTATTTTATTTTGGTATTCCTTTTTTTTTCTCCCGAGATTTGTGGTCGGTTCATCACGTTGGGGAGAAGCCTTTTGGTCTATGGCGTTGATTAAGTTGTTGAGGAGGAACAGATGAAAGTCACCGGAAAGCCGTGTCCGACGGCGACATTACCGGCCTCCGACTTCCAAGCGAAGATTTTCACTAACCCTCCAGATCTCAGGGCTATACAGAGAGTCACTAAACGTAGAGCCAGGAACCCGAGTTTGACTCGTCACCGAAGATCCGGCGCTTCTGGTGGTAGACGAAGCAGACCGGAGACTCCGCTTTTGAAATGGAAGGTGGAGGATCGGAATAAGGAGAGAGGCGGCGTTGTTGAGGACGATGATTACGAGGATGATGGATGTAATAATAACAACCAGGTTGAGAGGTCGGAGACTACTACTACTTCTCGCCGCAAGGATCGGAGGAAAATCTCTCGGCCTGTCTCTGTTAGGAAACTCGCCGCCGGCCTATGGAGGTTGCAAGTACCGGACACGAGTTCCAGCGGCGGAGAGAGGAAGGGGAAAGAGGGGTTAGGGTTTCAGGTACGATTTTTGGCATCTTATGGTTTCTTGAGATCCAATATTTTTGGCTTTTACTTAGGAAGGAGTTGAAGTGTTCTCATCTGCATTGTGAGATTGAGGTAGTTGTCATGGATTTATGGAAGTATTGAGATGATGGATGATCTCAATTTATTATCCAATTGATGATTGCTTAACTTTGAAGTTCAAGTTTCAACCACTGCTCTGTGATTACCTTATCATCTTTGTTTCCCTTTCATAATTATCATCATTAAGCCTACATACGTACAAATCTTAGTCAGTGGATTGATGATTAGCATCCCTTTAACGCGTTAATAGGGTAGTAATTATGATGTAGTCCTAACTCGAGCTGATTATTAATCTTGTAGACTCAGATTTCTAGTTACAACTTACAACCATTTATGCAATTAGTAAACTCTGAGTATTTCCTAATGTTTCTGTGTTTATCAAACAGCTAAATTTAGTGAAAGATCTGATGATTACTCTATGATCATTAGCTTTCTGTTTTAAGCTTGTATATTGTTTTTCCCCTGCAGGGAAATGCTGGATACATGGGTGTTCCGTATCTTTATCACCATAGTGACAAACCTTCTGGTGGTCATAGCAACAAGATAAGGCAGAACCCTAGCACTATTGCTACCACGAAAAATGGATTCTTGTGTAAGGTATGTTGATCTTCTCAACCTTGTAGGTGTTTATGATATTAGCTAAACAATAGATGTATGCTTACTCTTCCAAAGACTGAGCGCGCTCTTTTCCCATAATTGTAGTGGAAATTATATTTCCACCTCCCCCTAGAATTTATCAATAGGGGTATTCTTAATGATTGGCGTACTTGATTGTGAATTTACTGGTGTTATGATTTCTTTTCAATTTTCAAATCAGAATAAATTCTGTATGGTTTCTTGACCTTAAGTCTTATATTGTTTTCTTGTCAGCTCGAGCCTTCAATGCCATTTCCCCACTCTGCGATGGAAGGGGCGACAAAATGGGATCCTGTTTGCTTGGATACAATGGATGAAGTACACCAAATTTATAGCAACATGAAGCGTATTGATCAACAAGTAAATGCTGTGTCATTGGTTTCTTCCCTTGAAGTAGAGCTGGAGGAAGCACATGCTCGCATTGAGGATCTTGAGAGCGAGAAGCGATCTCATAAAAAGAAGCTCGAGCAGTTCTTGAGAAAAGTTAGTGAGGAGAGGGCTGCTTGGCGGAGCAGGGAGCATGAGAAGGTCCGAGCAATCATCGATGATATGAAAACTGATATGAACAGGGAGAAGAAAACCCGTCAGAGATTAGAAATCGTGAATCATAAATTAGTCAACGAGCTTGCAGATTCGAAGTTGGCCGTGAAGCGTTACATGCAGGACTATGAAAAGGAAAGGAAGGCGAGAGAATTGATTGAGGAAGTTTGTGACGAACTTGCCAAGGAAATAGGAGAAGATAAAGCTGAGATTGAAGCTCTGAAGAGAGAATCCATGAGCCTCAGAGAAGAAGTAGACGATGAAAGAAGAATGCTGCAGATGGCTGAGGTCTGGCGTGAGGAACGTGTCCAGATGAAGCTTATTGATGCCAAAGTAGCACTCGAGGAAAGGTACTCACAAATGAACAAGCTTGTAGGAGATTTGGAATCTTTCCTCAGGTCAAGAGATATAGTTACAGATGTCAAAGAGGTGAGAGAGGCGGAGCTATTAAGAGAAACTGCTGCATCTGTTAATATCCAAGAAATCAAGGAATTTACATATGAGCCTGCAAATCCAGATGATATCTACGCTGTATTCGAAGAAATGAACTTCGGTGAAGCTGAAGCCCATGATAGAGAAATGGAGAAATCTATTGCTTACAGTCCAATCAGCCACGGTTCTAAAGCTCACACGGTAAGTGCAGATGTCAATTTGATCAACAAGAAAGGTAGACACTCGGATGCTTTTACTCACCAGAATGGCGACATTGAAGAAGATGATAGCGGTTGGGAAACAGTGAGTCACCTCGAAGAACAAGGATCAAGTTACTCACCAGATGGGAGCATTCCTTCTGTGAACAACAACAATCACCATCACCGAGACAGCAATGCCTCGAGTGGTGGTACAGAGTCCTTAGGAAAAGTTTGGGATGAGACAATGACTCCAACCACAGAGATAAGTGAAGTGTGTTCCATTCCAAGACGGTCATCCAAAAAGGTTTCATCAATAGCAAAGCTTTGGAGATCATCAGGTGCAAGCAATGGAGATAGAGATAGCAACTACAAGGTAATATCAATGGAAGGTATGAATGGAGGAAGGGTTTCAAATGGGAGGAAATCAAGCGTGGAAATGGGTTCACCGGATAGAGTATCGAGTAAAGGCGGATTCAGCCCGATGATGGATTTGGTTGGACAATGGAACTCTTCACCGGAATCGGCAAATCATCCTCATGTAAACCGAGGAGGAATGAAAGGTTGCATAGAGTGGCCTAGAGGTGCACAGAAGAATAGTTTGAAGTCAAAACTCATTGAAGCACGGATCGAAAGCCAAAAAGTTCAGTTGAAGCATGTTCTTAAGCAGAAGATCTAGGAGTCGAACCGGTTTTGGTCACAGCTGGACCAGATTTTAATACCCGGGGCACTGCGTGGGGCTCTCTGATCTTTCACCGGTTTCTGATTCTGTATGAAGTAATAATGTCCTGGGGAAGCAGTCAGTTGGAGCCATTGAGCAGTTTAGACCGGAATTTAGATTATGTATTATTGTCATTTGGTCATCAGCTATTAAGCAATGTGTACGCAAATATTATTATCTCATGGAAGAAAAACCTTTAGCAGAGTAAGAGACGCTAATGTTCCTTAGAGACTTATTCATCAATTTATTCTAAATGCATATTTTCAACTCAAAAGAGCTAGTAGTAGTATATCAAGGCTAAGACAACAGCTAGCACTAGAATCTGAATGTTCAAAACAGAGGCCAGATTCTCAACCAACGTCAAGGTTGATGTGGGATTTAACAAAGCTTATAGGGAAGAGGAATTGTATTGGAGAAACAATAGAGTAATAAAATGATTCTCAGATTACATTTTTTGGAGTGGCTCATTGAGAGATATATATCACACTTAACCTGTTTCGGTTAGATAATCATGTAAAGATTTAAGAAAGCAACAGAAGTATATAGTAAAAGTATAGTCGGAATTTTCATTTTAAACCCAAAGGCAAATGACGACAACGTAAGATAATTGCACAACAGACTGAAGTTTGAATTGTTGACAACAGAAAAAACTAAACTAAGCACAGCTTATCATTTTTTCTCATTTTGTTTGGTAATATACTTATATCCCTTTCTTGGAATTGTGTGAAAGAATCAATTCCAATCATTCTCTTATTTGTATTCTTGAAAGTTAACATGACCAGTTGCTTGAGCATGCTCCACAGCTTCCTGTTACAATTTCAATCATATGTTCCACAGTCAAGTTCTATGATTTAATAAATAAAGCACACCAAATGAAGTACTCAACGAGAGACAAAGCAAATGACCTTTTGTCCAATGACTCCAATTTGGCATACACCACAACGCAGAGTGAAGTTTGCAGTATCTGTGTAACTCCTTTTACTGAAACAAATAAACCAAATCACAGGGTTTATTCTTGTTTGCTTAAGCCACATTAAACAAAACTATGTTTAACACTTGTATATATTACCTTTGTTGGTCTTTTACTAGATTTAGAACAAGCCCTTCGACTGACCCAATGGATCTATCTTTACCAACTGGAAAGATAGTCATATCGAAATCTTCCTCGGCTCCTTCAAATGGAGACAGCTGAAAATTGCATCAAGGAAGAACTTGAGCCATCAGTTTGGTTCTCTCAAGTTACATTTTCCATGGAGAAATATATTAACTTACAGCGAGGGCATCATAGTGAAGACCGTCATAGATCAGCATAACTCGTTCGCTGTAGTTTCTTGTCTGCGAAAAGGAAGCTACTGTTTAATACTTTTGATTTTTTTGTTTCTTTCAGAAGTTGTATGCTTAGTTTTGATGATACCTGTCCGTACAGGTCACATCGACTAGTCTGAATATCATAAGCTGCAATTTCTCGACCATAATAATCTGCTAATATAGAAAGCTCAATTGCACCTATACAGCAGAAAACAGAAAGACACTTATCAATACACAATGATGAACCCTAGAATCAAAAGCACAAATATTAGCCATGAAAGATCATGAACACGAGACATTTACTGACATATTTTATCTCGTCTGATTTACATAACTAAGTTCAGTTGAAAACTACACTGAAGAAATTATAGAGATACTGAACAAATTAGGCAAAGATACCTCCCCACTTCTCCGGATTGAGAATCCAAGCACAATATTCTTCATTTTGCTTCGCTAGAAATGCTTCGTTATATTTCTCCTTGTTGCTTGCAACTGCAGCTGCTATCACCTTAGCAAAACAGTACCCAACTAATGTCTCAGAATTATTTTGGAAAATGCACTAAGCGGTTACTTGCAATACTCAAGTCATGCGGGAACATTCTTTTCCATAAACCTACCCCAAGTATTACTACTTTCAGATTGTCAGGAATTAAATATTAACCATATCGAGATTAACTAAAGAACGGTATCAGTAACCTCTAAGCTTAAATATTTTATGAAGCTAATGACTAAAAAGTAAAAGAAGCTAAACATAGAATGCAGCTGAACTAACTTTAACAAATCAAAGAAGCTAAAGATAGATGAACAAACCTGTCTCAGCTCAGGAGCTTTCTTTTTGTCCTTGTCCATGACATAACTGTAAAGGAGAAATTTCAAAGATCAAATAAACACAAGCCTCAAAAGGCATTAACTACAAACATCTTCCTGACTCAAAAGAGCTAATTACCCGATTGCGTTGAAGAGACAACTGTTGTCAGATGGTATAACTCTTCTCACAATGATTCCTTCCATGCTAACAATCTCAAACTATCTGCATTCCAAAAGACATTTTTTTCATATTTCCCAATCTTAAGCTATTGCATTTAACCAATAAACATATCTAGAGAAACAGAAAACAAGATCTTTACATAAGGAAGAGACGTAATTGGATTACATAAAGACATGAAAACAAGCTAGTAAAGACGAGAATGAAGAGTCTTGATCCGATCTAACAAAGCACCATACTTTATGAACAAAAAAGGAAAAACTCAGAACGATTGCAACCAAATCAGATCCATAAATCCCAAGAAAGAACCCAACCCTTACCCAATCAAAGCAAGAATACTACAAAAAGCCTAGGAATTTCGAAACTTTGAAGATATAAAGTTCTGATTTTTGAGAATACCCAGAAGAATATTAACACCAAACGCAATGAAAGCACCAAAAAAAAGTTGGGTTCTTGGAAGAAGAAAGAAGTAAAATCCAGAGAGATCTTTAGAAAGGAATGATATTTAATAGAAAAATGGATGGATGCACCGAAAGCAGCAGAAGAAGAAGCATAAACACGTGACGTGTTGAGCATTTGATAAAGTTAGTTCGATAAAGAAACGAAGGAAGGAAGAACTCACCGGTTGGGCAAAAAGATGTGATTCTGAGAACTGAAAAACAATGAAAGATGAAAATTTTGAGACGTTTGATTTTGGTTTTGGTGGTGCGTCTCGACTCGCCCATTATAAAAAGCGAATTACTAGATTTATTTATTTATTTTACTGCTCAGGTTACGGCGTCATCCTCCTCCTCACGGAAGACAACGGAACCAAGATTAATCATTTTCATTTTTCTTTTTCATTTTTTTTTGTTCTTTAAAACCAAAACACCAAAAAGAGCTACTTAATTTAGAGAAAGTTATCTACCGATTCAGTTTTTAAATTTTAAATTACTGAGTTTGGACTTTGGAGAGAATTCTTTTAAGAATTTTGAAGATTTCTACTGTTTTTTTTCTTTTTTTGCGTTACCAAAAAATTACAAAGGCAAATGCATATAAAGATAGCACAATAACCATATCCAAATTGTCCCAAACCGGGAACAATGCCCGGTACATTTAAACAACCTCCTAAACCAGAATCTTCTGACTAAACTAGAAGCATTCAGATCAGAGCAATACCAGCTACAAATGCGTACCCACTTAGTAACCTGTTTCTTTAAAGAAACATGTTTTGTTTCAATTTTCATAGCTTGGTGGTGAAAAGTAGGGTGTTCGTTCAGTTCACACTCCCGCAGTGGTCAGTAAAATCTGAAACGTACAATCTTTTATTCTTCAAATTCTTAAGAGCATCATTATAATGAGCTCAGATGATGGATCAGTCGGATAGACATGTTGAAGGCAAGCCTCACATATGATCATATCTTAGTCCTTGCAATCTTTTGAATGTACTTTCTTGACCGTCTCATCCGGAATAAACTTTCATCTCTGCAACAACACTCTCCCAAATATGCAGATGGTCTTCAAGTTTGGTTTAGCACTCGTTCTTAGTTAATTTTTTTTTTAGCTGTTGTTTAATTTCTTTCAAAACAAGGATGCATCTGATGTAAAAAGGACTTTTTTTTTGGGCTGAATATATTTTTACATTCATTCAAAAAAAAATATATATATATTTTGAATGTAATATTGTAACGTGTATAAATATTTGTCAAAAACCCCACTTTGTTTACTTATAGGTCCATAACAGTATGTGATGATACTTGTGGACTTGGAAAAGAAGAAGAAAACTAGAGAAGGCTTTACAGCAACTAGAACAATGGCAAGAAACAAACACAAGGAAACATAAACCATGTCGATTGATAAAAATCTGTCGTTATAATTAGCTGATAAATAGAAACGTAAGGATGATGATGATTGTGACTAGCATAAGCAAATCAGAAACCGTCTCTTGCTTTCCTTTTGCGAGGTTGGTTGATTTGCACTAAACTTGGGTGATATGGAGAGCACACAAGTGGTGGACAATAAATTTGTCCAGGACTATATCCGGGATAGTGTATCCCTTCAATGACTTTGGGAGCTTCTCCAAGACTCACAGTTTTAAAGTAGCCATCGTCTCCAATGATAAAAGCTGTGTGGTCCGGCTGGTCCCTAGGGGTCTCGGTGCATCTACATCGAAAACCACAGCGACTCTCTCTTCCTCGTTAATGAAGAAGCTCCCATACTCCTTTTCAAACCGAACAGCGAGGAATGGGAGGAAACCAGTGGGTACTGGTCTCATATCAACTTCTAAAAACTTGCTCCAGGACACAGCATTGGGCTCAACCTTGGTCGTAACCCAAATCTCCAATAGGTCACCCGTCTTATCGGAACCTTGCTCAGTATCTTCTCCCCAACCACTTCCTCTGGAAGATCGCATATCCTCTTCTTACTCATTCTTCCAAACAACTTTACTTTACACAAAAGAAATAGCTAGGGCTAGGGCTTCCTCTCCAACTTTATTATATATTAAAAAAAAAAGTCAATTGTGCAATTAGAATTTGGCATGTCACATTGTAATTTAAATTTTAATGGATCGGTACCTAAAGATGTTTGTATATACAACCCGAACTCATCAAATCATGGTTAACCTTAGCAGCTCTTGGTTATAGGAATCTATCTGTTTTGTTTTTATTTTTTTTGTGAGTTTCTTTGTTCTGTTTTAATGAGTCTTTAAGTTGATTAATATTGTTGTCTTGTATTGATGATAATTGTAGGAACCAGTCAGTTCAAGATTCTTTTAGTGTATAACAAAGTGCTTATTGTTAACTTCTTAAGAAGGCCCAAACAGAGCAAGGCACAGTTTGTGGTAATTATCTCATGATTTATATATGTTGACCCGTTTAAGTTAGTGGTCTAGTTATATTATTAACCTGCACTATGTAGAGAAAGACAAGTCGCTTACTTATTATTGTTCCTCTTTTACGTGTATCTGGTTTTGTTCTTTAGGCTAACTTCAACTTAAACGTATGACAGAGTAAATAAACAATTGGGGGGAGGTGACCTAATTGGGATACAAATCTCAATCTTCTTGTCTTACTCTTTTGTTTCCTACTGAATCAGTATTGTATTATATTAGTTACTAAAGCGTTGCAGTTCAACAGAATACAAGATGAAGAAAGAAACCTCTTAAATTCCCTAAGAACATTGGATCTTTACACCAAACAGCATAAAGCTTCCTTTGTTCTCCTCTGTTTTGGTTACTTTATCTTCTAACTTCGAGCTAACGAAGTTTTCTGTTTTCCTTCTTTCCTCTGAACTGCCATGAGCCGTCATGTTTACTTTCTCAGGGACAACGGAGCCGTTGTCTGAAAAGTAATGAACATCAATCATCAAGAAGTTATTGCTTTGACCTTCTAATGTCTTAACGTTGTTGGGGACATCGCAAGTGTAAAAGATGATAACATCCTTCTCCTTGAGATTCCTCTCCTTGACGAAACTGTTCCAACCTCTGGTGAAGACAAAGCTCTGGCTACTTTTCCAGTAACAATACCTAAACTTCCATTGTCTCATTGCTCTGTCGTAAAAGACAATCTCCAAATCTTCCACAGCTCCTCCTATCTCGCCTTCTTCTTTCTCGTTTTGATCATCGCTTATGGAAGGCATATACTTCACTGCATACTTCTTAGGTATCACAAGCCTATTCAGTTTCCCTACATCGCTCGGTGTCAACTCCTTCTGAAACAGCTGCGTGCAAGAAAAACACTTGTCTGATTCTTGATCTACTTCTCCTCTCACTTGTTTTGATCCGTCGACGATGTTGATACTCGCGACGATCTGAGATCGGATTCTGAGAAAATCTCTGAACTTGTGCTGGTAAGAACCGTCCCTGATCATGTTCAGGACAGATTCTACTTCGTAGCAATCTTGGAAGTCCGGTTCGTGGACGGTGATATCAGACAAAGGGAAGTTCCGGTGAGCGTTGGCATCGAATCTCCGGAGTTTGATGGATGCACTGTCGTAAGCCGTGGCGGCTTCAGCAGCGGATTTAAAAGTTCCAAGCCAAATCCTTTTGTGGTCTGCGTAGATCTGAGCACCCCAGTGACCGTTCTGCTGCTGAACCACTCCTTTGTACTTGACATTGCCTGAGACGGCAACCGTCTTTATCGCAGACGCAACCACTAGGGCTTGTTCTGGTTCGTCACTAAGTCTCATTCGTTTCTTGAGAGGCAAGAATGTCTCCGTAATTGTATTTGCGTCGTCGTTTATTATTGAAAACATTAGAAGAGAGAAATCAGAAGCGAAACAAAACTATGAAGAAACAATGAGGAACAGAGTAAGATTTTTATAAAGAGAGTAAATCGTCGGCGAATCAATGTTATGTTTCTCTTAATGTTGTTGAGTATTTATCAAGTTTAAATTTTCCGTTTTTAATTGCTTTTTTCCTATAAATTAAGATTTATGGAAAATATGGATTTACTAATTTTCCATTTTTGGTCGGTTCATTAACTTTTTTTGATATATCTGATGATTGTGTATATAAAAAAAAAAAGGAAATACGTGATGACTAAAGAGACAAAGGAAAAATATCAAGTAATTTAATTAGGGTTTTATTATGTTTACCCTAATTTAATCATTAACCAAAAAAAAACGTGTCTCATCTCATGTGGTTGACTTTCATTTTCTTCCCTTTTATTTGTTTATTGTTTTCTAATTGGTTCTTCCAATTAAGGCAACAATATTTTTTTTATGTAAAATTTTTAGCGAGTTTTGATTTTTGAGAAAGGAAAATTGCAAAAAAGACAGGTAACAAAGTTACACAAAAAATGTTAGTTTCGTAGCCGATATTAACAAATACAATGATGACAAAGTTTGCAATTTGTTAAATAATCTCTTGTTATTTATGAGCACATACAACCTTCGGTGAAAGATTTGGTTTGCTTCCAAATAAAAGAGTAGACCATTATCATAATTAGGGTTTTTTAACATCATCAAGTGGAGTCTCTCTCTCTCTCTGCCTTGGTTATGGAACCCCAAGTCGTCGTCGATAATTAATTAAGCTCTGGAATATATTGTTCTAGTCTCATTCTCTTCTTCTCCTTACCTTTCTATCGAGTCTCCATTATATGACACTACTAGGGATGTTAAAAAGGGCTGAACTCTCCAGGGTTAGCCCTGGTTCGTTTTATTATTTTTAGCCCGTGGCCCTGATTTTTAGTTATCAAAACGAACGAGCTTGAACAGGGCCGGGATTGAGAACGAACGGGTTAAAAAAATACTGGCCCTTTGTAAAAACAAAACTTACGATTTTTAAAAAGAACAGATTTATTTTTTGTAAATGACGTCGTTTCACCTGGAACTCTTCTTCCTCCTCAGTAATGAATCGGTCTGGAAATAAAAAAATTTTAAACCCAAAGGATAACACGATCCTATTACAGATCTGGTTCAATTTATATTGGCTTGAAGACATTATTAGAAATCGATTAATTCTACTAGACTGGTTTTAGTGGATTTCAAACTTTTACATTTTTTTTTTGGCTCGAACTTTTCCAAAAAAAAAACCAATCTGTAAAAAAAAGTTAAGAACCCAAACCTAAACAGTACCAAAGCTTGAGCACTCCTTCCTCGCCCGTCTACAAATCAGGTTTTTTTGTTTTTTTTAATAATCTACATATCAAATTTAACGACTTTTAAGTTTTAATATTGTCATTTGTCTAAAATTAATTTCCATTAAAAAAACAATAAAACAATCCATAAATAAGATATGTAGATCATGTCCAGCAGCTAAAGTCCATTACGGCCCATTATAGTCCAGCAGCTAGACAAGTTTAAAACATATGTGTTGGCGGGCTAGGGCTTGGCGGGTTTAAACCCTTTTATGTAAAGTTTGGCGGGTTCTAAGCAGATCAGGGCTCGTATAGGGCCGAGTTTTCTCATTACAGGGCCGGGCTGGGTTAGAAAAACCTTTTTAACATCCCTAGACACTACTAACCCCTTCCTCTATATATATATATTCCTTTTAAGTAACGATGTGGTTGTGAACGAACCATCAAGGCATATACAGTATGTATGTATCTTTAGCTGTCATTGATATCAGTTTTGGAGTAAAAGTTGTTTTGGAGTAAAAGTTCTGGAGAGCAAGTAGGTAAAGGCTGAATCTTTGCACGAATCTCCCATTCTGTTTACAGTTCTTCTAATTAACTAAGGATCAGAAACCAAGGGAAACTTCATGGATTGATCATTTACTGTACCTCTCATTTTGGTTTAGTTTTCAAGTATGCATAAGATTTGTTAAGTTCTCTGTTTCAGCAAGTCATTTACTTGACTCATATTTGTTAATATGGTATTTTGCAGCAGTGTTGGTGCATCTATAACTTGACTGATACTTGACCGTGATTACTTTTTCTTTTCTTTTTAATTCGCCAAGAAATAACGTGGTTCTTATTTTAAACTAGTGTGCTTTGAATTGGTAATTACGACAATAATACTTTCTGTCATCTATTATGACTCATGTCCACGAAACTGTCTGACCAAACCAAAATTTATTTACGAAGCTAAAAGTCACTTTTTTGCTGTCTCAAGTCTAAAGCATGAGTAGATAGATAGGTAAAAGGATGAAAGCCGTTAATTAATGTTTTTTAAAAGTAAAACCAAATAAGTTTTAATCGATCATCATTTCACCTTCATCGTTTACTTACTGCTTCACATGGAAACAATTGAAACTTGAGAGAAAGTTCATATATATTATAAAAGACAGGAGGAAAAAATCGATAAAATCAAAGCAGAAACAGTTGACTTGTCTTAATAAATTTGATGTCAAACCAACTAACTAAACTCCACAGACCACAGCTGCCCAAAAAGCCGACCTTTTAGGGACCCCTCCACTACTTTCTTCTTCTTCCCAAACTTTTCATGGATTCTTCTTCTGCAATTCAACTTCCCAAATGATCAAAATAATTGTTCTAAAATCTCTTAAGCACACATCACTGCTTGATGAAACAAGTTCGTTGTCTGTTTTAGTTACTGAGTTGATTTGATTGATACTCCCTCTTCTTCTAGTTTAATAAACCGACCAAAAAAAATCAAACCTTTTGCATATTTCTCTGTTTTATTTTCTTGATTCTCTGCAAATTTTTAAGCGAAAGTTTCCATCTTTAGTCTCTGGGTCGTGATCTTTTGAGCTAATCTAAGCTAAAGCAGAGACGAGAAAGCCATGGGAAATTGCTTAGCCAAGAAATACGGAGTGGTGATGAAACCACAACAAAATGGTGAGATCGAGAACAGAGGAAGGAGTAACCACCAAGATCCGCCTGAGAAACCCACCGGAACGAATCAACCTCCGCCGTGGCGTAATCCGCCGAAGAAACACAGTGGTGGTAGTGGTGCTTCTATACTCGAGAAACCGTACGAAGACGTGAAACTGTTGTACACGCTGAGCAGAGAACTGGGTCGAGGCCAATTCGGAGTAACGTATCTGTGCACAGAGAAGTCGACGGGGAAGAGATTCGCTTGCAAGTCGATTTCGAAGAAGAAACTGGTGACCAAAGCTGACAAAGAGGATATGAGGAGAGAGATTCAGATCATGCAGCACTTGAGTGGACAGCCTAACATTGTTGAGTTCAAAGGAGCTTATGAAGACGAGAAAGCTGTGAATTTGGTGATGGAGCTTTGTGCTGGTGGCGAATTGTTCGATCGGATTCTAGCAAAAGGACATTACAGTGAGAGAGCAGCTGCTTCTGTTTGTAGACAGATTGTGAATGTTGTCAACATTTGTCACTTCATGGGTGTGATGCATAGAGACTTAAAGCCTGAGAATTTCTTGTTATCTAGCAAAGATGAGAAGGCCCTTATCAAAGCCACTGATTTTGGATTATCAGTCTTTATTGAAGAAGGTATATTGCATCTCTTGTTTTGAACTCTACTGTAATGTCTTTGGAATTGGTTTTTGTTGTATCATTCAAGATGGGTTTGTTTTTGTAGGGAGAGTGTATAAAGATATAGTTGGTAGTGCATATTACGTCGCTCCTGAAGTTTTGAAGCGTAGATACGGTAAAGAAATCGATATATGGAGTGCTGGGATTATACTCTACATTCTACTTAGCGGCGTACCTCCATTTTGGGCTGGTAATCCGATATTGTTATCGTCTTTTAGTTTCATATATTTGAGAAGAGTGTGGTTGGTGATGTATATGATGAGTATGGTTTGTTGGCTTTGGGAGTGTAGAAACGGAGAAAGGGATATTTGATGCTATATTGGAAGGTGAAATCGACTTTGATACCCAACCTTGGCCTTCAATTTCCAGTAGTGCTAAGGATTTGGTACGTAAAATGTTGACTCAGGATCCAAAAAGACGGATTTCTGCTGCTGAAGTTCTTGGTAAGTAAATGATAACTTCTTCTTCTTCTTGTTATACTTACTTGAATGTTGACAATGTGGTTGGTTTACCTTGTTTGCAGAGCATCCATGGCTAAGAGAAGGTGGAGAAGCATCGGATAAACCTATTGATAGTGCTGTTCTCTCAAGGATGAAACAATTTAGAGTGATGAATAAACTAAAGAAACTTGCTTTAAAGGTTATTAGATCAAAAGATTTGACGCATTGTTGCTAAATTCGACAGTCCTTTGTGCTTTTCGTCTTACTGTTTAGATTTGGAACAGGTGATTGCGGAGAATATTGACACGGAAGAAATACAAGGCTTGAAGGCGATGTTTGCTAATATAGATACAGACAATAGTGGTACAATCACATATGAAGAATTGAAAGAAGGATTAGCCAAGTTGGGATCAAAACTCACTGAGGCCGAAGTGAAACAGCTCATGGATGCTGTAAGTTTGGATTAAGACAAGTTATTACATTTCCTTGAATGTTTTTGTAAAAGCTCATATTCGAGTTTTTGTAATTCAGGCTGATGTTGATGGAAACGGGTCGATAGATTACATTGAGTTTATTACCGCAACGATGCATAGACATAGGCTTGAAAGTAATGAAAACCTCTACAAAGCCTTCCAACATTTTGACAAAGATGGGAGTGGGTGAGTGATCTTTATGTGTTTTTGATACGAACAGTAAATATATTTGTAAGGATGATGGATGAGACTTTATTGTTGGAATTGTGTTTGGTAGATACATTACGATAGACGAGCTAGAGGCTGCTTTGAAGGAATATGGAATAGGAGATGATGCTACAATCAAAGAGATTTTGTCTGATGTCGACTCCGATAATGTAAAGCCAAAAAAAAAAGTTCTTCTCCCTTAAAAACGTTTTTGTTTTCAATCCCTGACCTTTAATTTTCTTTCTTGTTGTTACAGGACGGTAAAATCAACTATGAAGAGTTTTGTGCTATGATGCGAAGTGGGAATCCACAACAACCAAGACTGTTCTAATGCATTTTATTTGTTTTCTATGTCGGAATCTAAGCCAAAAAGACAAAGAGTTGTATTATTGTTGTTCAGGCAAATTTAGGGAGGCCTTTTCGTTGGAAAAATAAGATTGGTTTCATTTCTTTTAAGGTTTTGTTTTCGTACTGTTAAACTGGTTATCTCATTTGTTTTTTAAAAGTACTGTATATATAACAAAGGAATATAACACAATGTAAAGTATATTACAAGTAGTGGATCACATAACTGGATGTGATCTTTCTGGTAGATCAGATTTGCTAATATGTCACAACTCACAAGTGTTAACAAGTCTAGTGCTCAGTCATGAGACTTGAGGTCCATTTCTACTTGATGAATGGTCCACTGCATATTTTCCAGTTTCTGCAAAATGATGAAAGCTCTCATCATCATTTGTGTTATTAGATTCTCACAAGTCAAATTAAACCCAAAAGGTGCAATGACGTAATTGATGGCTTGCTTGTACCTTAACAATGTCATGGTATTGTCTGGCAATTGTATCAAAATGTGGATCCACTCCTTGATATTCTCTAAGCCGTGTGACCTGTGTGTCATTTTGCAGGTTCGATTAATTAAACGGGAGTAAGATGCCAATGAAGACAGAAAAACAGGGTTTATAGCTAAGCAATGGAAGAGATTATAAAGACACAAACCGCTTTGTTGTATGCAGCTGAAGCTTCCTCAGTAGCCTCGACTAAATAATTCCTAAAATTACAATAAGGGTTGGAGGTGAGAGATGGGGTAATGGGTTCACCAGATAAATGGCAAGAAACATGTCTGGACGTAGATTTCCGCACCTGATGTTGTGGAGAGCTGATATGGAGTCAGGGGTGTATGTCTCAAGGAGGAGAACATTTTCTAAAACCCTTCAAGTAGAGAAAAATAAGATATTTTAACTACCGCAGTAGCCTGAATTTTGGATCGTAAACAGTAAAGAATGAGATGATTACCTTAATTTTGCATTCATGGTCTCACACCTTTTACACAGCCAAGTCTTCTGCATCTCATTCTGTAACAATATATAGAGTAAGCTAAATGTGAACAGGCAGCAATTAAATCATTTGGGAAACAATGAAACCCTTACATATTTGTGTTGATGTTCTAACTTCAGATCCTTTACAAGCTTTATAAGCACACCGAGTATTTGTTCGAGGACCTAGTTCAGAGTAAAAACGAACAGTCATCAGAACTTAGCATTAAGGGCTAAGAAGGATACTTCACAGGCAGTAGCTTTGAATTACATGTAGAAACTTATCTATATAAAATATTTAGAAAAATATCATGCAACAGCCCGGTAATTAGATTTCCGTTTTCGCAAAATACAATGAGTTTTCTTCTCACTTACATTGTAATATTCTGCAAACTTTCTGTCAGCCGAGTAGAGGTCTTCTCGTAGAGCTGCTTCATCTCTTTCAATCTCCTCAATTATAAACTTAACCCTGGAAATGCAAGAAAACATTGTCACTGATTGAGGCTGGAGAGCATGAGAAGATGGCTAAGTGTGAGAAAGTCATCTGCTCCTTCAAGGCTTCTGGATATATTTTTCAGAGAAACAGAATGCCTATCACTAACATAAATTTATATCAAATTATCAAAATATATATATCCCTAGAAAGGCCAGTTGCCATTAGTCTTAACTAAAACCATAAGGTAATCAAGTTTTTCTTTTAGATGTGTTTAGCCATAGTCTAAACATAGTGATAAAGCTAACCTTTCTGGTAGCCTAGCACTTGAATTTCGATTTCCTGTGGATGAATCTGTCATATAATATAGAGAATAAGAAAAATCTGGCCACTATCTGCAGACAACTTAACATTAAACTGGACAGGAACAAATGAATTTGGATAAGGAACGAAAGAGCTCTTTCTCAGTCTGCTAGTAATGAAGATCTTACCGGTGTCATCAACAATGGCATCAGCCAACTTATCACATTTGTCCTTCAATCGACCTTCTATCTCACGGGCAAGAAACATTTGGTAGTCAGCCATGTCCTAGCAAATTTATTAAAAAGAAAAAGAAAAAAATTAGATACCCAAAGATATCCATAACCAATCTTTCATAAGAATTGGTGCACAACTATTTTTGCAATCAGCAGATAAAGGCATAATACAGTTATAAAGAGACCAATACGAGGCACAGTAGGATCTCACATTACCATGGAAATAGTATTTTGGAGCTGAACATAGGATAAATAAGCAGGAGTTATTCCAAGAAAGCGATTAGGCACACCACCAACTACGTCAGTATCAACAGCACTAAGACTAGTCCCACCAGCAACACTGTTTGCAGAGCTATTCAAATAGTTGACGGAGTTAGAAGTGGAGCTAATCGTGAAACTCGTGGTTGCACTATCAAGAGAGCTTCTTGATAGTATACTCCATTTTTCAATTTCTTCTTCGTGAATTTCACCATCATCTGAAATAAGAGGTAGTCTCAGTTTCTGAGCGGCCTCAGCAACCACCAATCTATGCTCTAGAGTCTCATAAACCTGGGGAGAATTCTTCAATCCAAGTTGAGGGTATAGACCCTGAACATCACGTATCCCTCCATGGTTAGCCACTGAAATAGCTTGCTGATATTCTTCTACCATAGCTACAGCTTCACAATAGATAGCCTACCAGTTGTAAACACACAGATAACAAAAGTGAGTTCCTTAAATTCCCAATCTTGTAAGCTAATAAACCTACAAAATACTAAACCCTAACTCAAATCCTGAAATTGAATTAAACCCAGAAACAAAAATGAAGGCAAAGGAGAAGAGAATAAGAGTGTTACCATAGCTTCCAAGTACCGTAGTCTCTCCCGAGACATCTCCTCTCTCGCCTGCAATGTCAGATACAAATAACTTTTGAGTCTTGAAAGAAAATAATCAGGAGATTGGGTAAACAAAATCTGAACCCAATCCTCGTAAGAGAGAGAGATTACGAGTTGAAGATCGGAGTAGGCGGATTTGGTAACAAGAGATCCATCGGGAGCTAAGCAGTGACGCTCTAACTGATCGATCAATTGATTGACATCCGCCGGCAGATTCTGAGCAGCGCCTTGCAGTGCCTTCACCATTGATAAATAAGGCGGTGTCGTGTGGTGTTTCCGGTGAGAGATCTGATTCGATCTATCTATCCTTTGCCGCGACAGTTGATTCAAAAAAATATAATCTCGGCTCGGGCGCTCGATTGTGAAGTCTCACTTAATTTATTAAATCTTTTCTTAAGATAAAATTTGATTAAATCGTTAAAACTTCAAGATGAGAGAATGTGCAACCATTTTAATCTTCTTGAAAATAAATAAAAATTGCTAAAGTAACTCTTAGTTTAAGCAAATTTATCAATCAAACCAATCAGAAGAATTGGTTTTATAAACATAACATATTTTGAAATAAAATCTGTTGTTAAAAAAGATTAATAAAGCCAATTAAACTAGATTTAATTCGAATGGTTTAGAACAACATGATAGTTCTAGTTTTGGACTGAAACAAAAGGTTTAGAACAACATGATAGTTCCAATGGCTTCTAAATTCTAGTCATTAGTGGTCAGAGAAATAGGATCATCGATACTACACAAAGATAATGAATTAGCTTCCAAAGGAAGAAGCTGTATTTTAAAAGACATCCAAGGGTCTGACCAAATTCTAATAGACGAACTATTTTCCACACTCCAACAAAATGGATGCCTTAATTGAATAGAAGAACCTTTCTCCACACTTATACGGAGGACTTCCAAGACTAATTGTATGTCGTAACAATGTGTTTGTAATTTGTAATTTATCCGAGAAGGACAACAAAAACGTCATTGATTCATCTTGTTATGCAGCTTTATTGTTTGGTCGAGCGGATGGACCGAAAACTTGGTTTAGTTACTATGTTATGCTTTTATGTTGTTATCTTTTCTACCATAGATACATGTGTAAAAGTTTCTAATCTTTTGATTATTATAAACTGTTTTTTAGTTCTCAATAAAATATTTACAATTTAGTAAACAAAACAAAACTATAGAGGTAACTCTCGTTTATGTGTCCAAAGCAAAGCTTGTGAAGCTCTACATAAAATACTGTTTGACTTAATTGAGATCTAGGCAAGTTTAGGATCTAGCGATATTAACTTCGAATACTACAATTTTACTTTCTCTGATTCTATATCTGTTTCTTGTATCGTGTCATTTGCTTGCTGTCGATTTTGTGAGCTTATTAAGCATTTTGCATGTGTTGTTTTTGATACCCGCGCGCCTTGCCCGATATTAATCCATTCGTAATTCTAATAATCAATTCTTGTCCCAAAAAGATTTACTTCATGATCTTCACTAACTCCATGCATTGCTTACGCAATTAGTTAGTATTTTCTTAGCATCCAGTATTATGCTAATCAGTTTAAGATTAAATAATTATATTATCATATCACAGGAGGCAATGAAACACATAAAAATAAATTATAAAATGAAAATTTACCAGAGGCCTATTTGGTTTTTAACTAGCAAAGGGACTTAATTGAGTAATGAGTACCACAACTCATTTGGTTATCAAATATCCCTTGAAGAGAGGTTTGGTCCTAAGTCCCAATACGGTATGAAATGTTTATTCGACGTGGACTACAACCTAGTTCGACGTATAAACCACCAACAATTAACAGTGATTTATGTTTCCATTTCTTTGAACATTTTCGTGATATCAAACCCAAATCACAAAAAAAATATAAAAAATAAACCTATCCGTATCAAATTCTTGATTCAAATTTCTGAATCAAAATCAACAAACCCAAATAATAACGTGATATTATAACATCATATTGGAGCACTAATAAAAATACCAAAGTTGAATATAGAAAACTAATAACGTATATCACGCGTAATTACACAACCCATAGACACAAAACTCACCAACCAAACAACTACGGTTACACTCTCCACAATGCCTCTTATCATAAGCTAAGTAAACGCACTCTCCTCTACAACAAGTCTGCGAGAACTTGCATTGGTTCTTGCATGCGCCGCAGTTATCATTGTCGTACGCCACATCAACACATTTGTTGCTACAACACGACATTGTTGAGTTGTTGTATGTTCCTTGACTCTTGCATATCTCCTCGTCCTTATTGCAATGATCCGCAGCGTTAGGGTTACGACCGTTTTTCCCGTTCTGCGCCAAGAAACGGCTCACCCTATGAGGCTTCTTCGTAATGATGAGCGTATGCGTTTCCATATGTGTTTCTGTTTTGTTGTTGTTAACAGACACCGTGGAGACCAGTACGATGATGGTTATGGCGATTGTAAGAGATATTGCAAAGATTATATTCTTAGCCCCCATCACAACTTTTCGTCGTTAGAGAGAGATTCGGGGGGCGTACGTGAAATATGTGTGTATAGCGAAGGAAGTAGAGTTTATATAAAGTTTGACGAGTCGTTCGTTCAATATTGTAGTAGCCATGCATGTGATGGAATAAGGAGTAGAGTACGTTCAAATAATTCTTCATTAATGTTGAATATTTTTTATCACAAAGTCCAAAATATATGTAATTAGTTTTCCAAGAATTTTGACATTTCAAGTTTATATTCAAACAACTATTTTGTTTGGTAGCGTAAGTTTGTGTATTTGTTTAGATCCAATTGTGAACGAAGGAAACAGGAACCATATATGCAAATGTTAAAATCAAAAAGCTATTTGAGTACCCCATATAAATACTCTTATTTGCTCTGATCATCGCTTATAATATTCTCTGTATTGGATCAATAAGAATACACATATGTTATGCTTCTTGGGTTCAAGACTTTCAAGCTTTAACCACATCTTGCTAATGCATTTGACATATAGTAACGAATCACAATACAAACAAATTCATTAAATGAATGATTACATTTTCACATACACGTTCGTCGGAAGATTCTATATATGTTAATACAAGTTATATAACTCACAAGTGAAAGATATATACGGCGATAACACGTATTATGTTAAAGACTCAATTATAATGATGAGAAAATATGTTAAAACTTCTCCGTCGTCTTTGTACCACTTTTCTAATAATACTAGCTAGTGTGATGATGAGAATGTGTGAACAACTTGATCAAAAGTGATATATGCATAAATGTCAAATGAAAAGAATTGGTAAACCGGTTATTAAGGAAGAGCCGGAATGTGACGAGAAAATAAAGGCATGCTGTATGGTGAAGCAACGTTAATCAAATCCCTAATACTAATATATATATAAAGATCGATGGAGACTTTCGTTCCAAGTCTTTGTGCCCTCTCGTACACCGTCGGCCGAATAATAACAATTACATTACATTTTGGCTGAATAATTCTTTTCTCAGTACACAACATCGTGGAAGTATATTTTTCATTAAGTTAATATGATTATATATGATGGGAGATTGACGAGAACTTGCCCACGGTTTTGATTAAAGAAAGCAAAGTGTGAAGGAGTAAGCAATAGAACAGTTACTTGTGAAAGAAACAAACACAAAGAACTTTGATCACCGAATTCACGGATAACCGCTACGTCTCGGGGGAGGACTCTTGCTCCCAACTTTCACTATGATAATGAGGTTACAAACACCACTAACTTGTGATGTTGTCTTTTGGTTTCAGATACAATCTCAAGAAGAACAAAGATCAAAAGACAAAGAACAAAGAGGAGAAAGCTTGCTTGAAACTCCAACGTTCTCTCACTTTCTCTAGAACTCTCTTTTTTTTGCTTGTCTTGTCTCACCTACCTCCACTCACTCTTATTCTCTTACACATTGTAATATATAAGAGAAGCAATGGATCTTTTGTCCTTCTTCCTCATGTCATTTTCGTCGGCCCATTTAAGGCCCACTTTAGTGTGGTTTTGGTTTTGTCAAACCAACAACAATTCTCCACCTTTTGACAAACACCACACACATCGACGAAATCAACGACATCAACCTCTGAAATTCTAAATAATACCCAACCTCATCTCTTTCTCATCTTGTGAAATTAACACCACCACTAGAATCCAAACTCCTCCGGCGGCCTCCTCCGGCGAACAAACACCTTTGTTCCCACCAGCCATCTTCTCCTCCTTTTCCCACCATGCTCACTAGTTCTCCACATGGGGAAAATGCAGATTCTTATTTTCCCATGATAAACTTGGAAATTGGAGGTTAATCCGGTCACCCTTGCATGTTCACCAGCGAAACCAAGCTTCAGCGTCCACCTCTCTCATGGCGACTCTCTCTTCCAACCTTCTTCCCCGTTTTCTCCGGTTAGACTTCACGGGTTAGTGTGACCAGGGACGCTTCACAAGGCAATGAATTCAATGTTTCCTCTGCAAATCTCAGGTATATATGGTCTCTTCCTTTCTGAAATTGCTGCAACAATTAGAGATTGGATTCTTATAATTCCCAGAGTTATTGATGCTTAATTCCACTCTTTTCTCCAATTAAGCTTCTCCACTGAATCCAACAACGCTTCCTCTGCAAATCCAGGTACATCTAATCTCTTTCTTGTCTCCTCTCAACATTTATAGATTAGGATCTTCTGAAATTTCCAGAAATTTTGAAGCCCCTCCTTAAATAATGAGTTTTGAAATCGTTTAGGTGATGAGCTCCACCTTGTCATCACCAGCAAAATTCATTGCTTCTCCCGTGAGATCATGTTCAGCCTTTGGTAAGTGATTTTCCTCACCATCTCCTTTTGCCTTAATCTAACTCTTTTGCGATTCATTTTTTAACCAAGAGATCTAACTTGATCTACTCCGTTAACAGTTGAATCACAACCTCTGGCTTCTTAAACTTGTTTTTTTTTTTTTTTTCAAAAAAACTCCACATGGAACTCGTAAATCCGACACGGTTCCAGTACTTAACAGGTAACACCAACTCCAATTTAATTCCTTACTCAATCCTAACACTTGAGTACTTCTCACAAAACTAACGCATCTTATTATTATTATTTTTTTTTTTGTTTTTTTTGTTTTGCGAGACTGTTGGAGTTACCTGTTGCCGCTACTCCACCTTAGTGGATGTTGAGGAGCCCGCAGCAGAGCTGGAACTTCTCACCAGGTACCGTCTTAGTTAGGAAATCTGCTGGGTTTGCTGTTGTGTGAATCTTGTGTAGAACAACATCACCTTGTGCCACTATATCCCTGATGAAATGGAATTTAGTGTCTATATGCTTTGTTCTTTCGTGATGAACTGAATTCTTTGCTAGGGCTAGAGCACTCTGTGAATCACAATGAACTTGAACACTTTCTTGCTTAAACCCCAATTCTGAACACAAGCCTTTCAACCAAATAGCCTCTTTCACTGCTTCAGTTAGAGCCATGTACTCTGCCTCAGTGCTTGAAAGAGCCACAACTGATTGCAAACATGATTTCCATGAAACTGTATTTCCACCAACTTTAAATACAATCCCTGTGACAGACCTTCTTCTATCCATGTCTGTTGCATAATCTGAATCTGAGAACCCTTCAATGCAAAAATTAGAGCTCTTCTTAAATGTCAAATTTTGAGTGTATGAACCCTTTAAGTACCTTAACACCCATTTCACTGCTGACCAATGTTTTCTCCCTGGATTTGACATAAACCTGCTGATGAGACCAACTGCAAACCCCAAATCTGGCCTTGAACCCACCATAGCATACATTAAACTCCCCACTGCACTTGCATATGGAATTCTTTCCATATGTATAGCTTCTATTTTCTTTTCTTCTTCTGTCAAACTTCGGAGCTTAAACTGTGAATCAGTTGGTGTAACCACTGGCCTTGCTTCAAACATTCCAAATGTTTTCAGCACCTTTTCTAAGTACTCTCCCTGAGATAGAATCAATTCCCCCTTCTCTCTATCTCTTATTATGTCCATGCCCAGAATTCTTGAGGCCTTTCCCAAATCTTTCATCTCAAACTCACTTTTCAACTTATCTTTGAGATTTTGAATCACTGTCATACTCCCTGAAGCTATCAGCATATCATCCACATAGAGCAACAAATAAATAGCTTTCTCTGTCTGGGTGTCTTTCATGTAGACACACGGGTCTCGACTGCTCCTTTCAAACTGTTGGTCCCTCATGAATTTATCAAACCTTTGATTCCAACATCTAGGAGACTGTTTTAGACCATATAAAGATTTCCTCAACAGACAGACTTTGTCTTCATTTCCTTTTTGCACAAATCCTTCAGGTTGACTCATTAGAATCCTCTCTTCTAGATTTCCATGCAAAAAAGCTGTTTTAACGTCCATTTGCTCCAACTCATAGTCCATGTTAACCACAATAGATAACATTAATCTGATAGAGACATGCTTAACCACCGGAGAAAACACTTCATTATAATCTATGCCTTCTTGTTGCAAAAAACCTTTAGCAACTAACCTGGCCTTATATCTCTGTTTCTCCACTCCTGGTATTCCTGGCTTCAGTTTAAAGATCCATTTACACCCTACTAGTTTCTGCTTTTCAGGTTTCTCAATAAGATCCCAAGTATGACTTTTCTGATGAGAATCCATCTCCTCTTTCATTGCAATTTCCCATTGTTTTCTATCCTTGCTTTTCATAGCTTCTTCATAAGACTTAGGTTCTTCAATCTCCAAGTCTTCAGCTGTTGACAAAGCATAAGCAACAAAATCTGCTTCTTCAAATCTGGATGGAGGTCGAACGTTGCTTCTCCTTTTTCTGTCTCTGGCCAACAAATAATCATCTAGAGACTGTTCATTTTCAGATTCATCAGCTCCCTCATTCTCCTCTGATTCTTCTGAACTTTCTGAGCTTCTTGAGCTTTCTGGACTTTCTGAGCTTTCTGAACTATCTGATGAAGATGTTTCTCCACCTTGAGAATATGCTTCATCCAAATCAGAATAACTGCTGGAAGGCCCTCTGATAAGATCCTCGCTAAAAGTCACTCTCTTACCAGCCTTTTTCAGTTTTTTCAACGCCTTATCAGTTTCCTTTTTCTTTGCACCTGCATTTTCCAACGTTTCCTTGAACACTTCATTCTCATTAAACACCACATTTCTACTAGTTGTGCATTTCCTTTCCTCAGGTAACCAGACTCTGTACCCTTTAATACCAAAAGGATATCCCATAAAAATTCCTTTTACTGCTCTTGGACTTGTCTTACTTTGCGTAACATGAACAAACGCTGAACATCCAAACCTCCTTAGGTGACTCAAATCTGGTTTTGAACCTGTCCACACTTCCTCGGGTAACTTGAAACCAATATATGAATTTGGTGTTCTGTTGATTAAGTAGACTGCTGTAGAAGTAGCCTCAGCCCAAAACTCTTGACCCAATCCCGTTTCAGCGAGCATACTTCGAACTTTATCCATAATAGTCCGGTTCATCCTCTCGGATA